AGCTCAGGGATGAGAGTACAGTCACTCTCTGGATCAACAAGCTTTAAGCTCTGTCCAACTATCTGTAAAGCAGTAGGATCGACTTCCCTGGGACTAGTTTCTCAGCTGGGGGCAGCCAAATTCTAGGTATCTTCATCTGCTTATTCAAATCCAATTCATTTGAATTTGAAATAGCAAGGACTGCCTCATACTCTCTGTGGACAAAAAGCAGTCTGTAAGGAGCTGTCTGCCACCCTTCTGTCAGTCTGTCATAACTCTAGTGGCTTACGTGTTGCTCTGATGCTGGAAGCTATGCCACCGGTACTTCAAATACCAGCAGGGTCACCCACTGTGGACAGATTTCCGATATAGTGCTGGAAGATGAGCCCCAGGTTGGAAGACACTCACAATGCACAGTGGCCTCAACAGTGGACTTGAGACTACCAGTGACATGAAGATGGCACAGGACTGGGCAATGTTTTGTTCTTTTATAGATGGGGTCACCATGAGTCAGAGCCGACTTGATGGCAGCTAACAACAGGGAGGTGTTGTAGGGTGGAGAAACTCAGCAGGCGGAGGAGTCAGCAGAGAGCTGCTTGGGGTATCCTGAGGCTGGACTTGGGCTATTGCATCTTCAGGGAACTACTCTATAAGTGCAGTAGTTGTCAGTTGCATTGAGCCAGCCGTGGCCCTGTAGGTCAGCGTTCTATGCCTGGGGCTGAGAGATGCACCAGGGTCCTGGAAAGCACCTCAGGCTACGGGACACCCTTGCCCTAAGTCATGTTGGATCTAATGGAACTTGCCATCCGAGCGTCTATCTGTACCTTTCTTTTTCCTATTGATTTTCAACTTTCTAGTAATGAGGAATAACATGTTCCCTATGTTTGTTGGATAAAGTGGTACAATAGAATGAAAAATTTTTTTTTTCAGATATCACCACTGTTTATTTCCAAAACCTTTTCATCACCCAAATAGAAACTCTGTGTCAACTGAACAATGATTCAGCAGTCCATGGTAACCATTAATCTATGTTCTGTTCCTACGTATCTGCTTATTCTAGATATTTCATAAATGGATCACACAATATTTCTCCTTTGGTATCTGCTTATTTCACTTAGCCCATCCATGTTGTAGCATGTATTAGAACCTAATCCCTTTTTATGTTGTTGTTGTCATTAGGTACCGTTCGGTCAATTCTGACTCATAGCAACCCTGTGTACAATGGAACAAGACACTGCCTAGTCCTGCACCATCCTCACAATCATTGCTATGTTTCAGCCCATTGTTACAGCCACTGTGTAAATCCATCTCATTGAGAGTCTTCCTCTTTTTCACTGACTCTCTAACTTAACAAGCATGATGTCTTTCTCCAGGGACTGGTCCCTCCTGACAACAAGGCCAAAGTACGTGAGGTCTTTGCCGTGATGATTCCTTCCCTGTTAGCAGCCCTGGGTGTCTTTGGTTCCTTGGCATTCCTCAGCTTGCAGACAATCCTCACATGGCATTTCTTTTCCCTTGTGTCTGTGGTCTTTGGGTCTATTTTGGTCTTTTTATCATTTAGAAGTGATTAGATTTAGGATCCACCCTACGCTAATATGACCTCATTAACAAACAAAAGAACACTCTATTTCCAAACTGGATCACAACCACAGATACTAGGGTCAGGAATTCAACATATATTTTAGGGGTGCACAATTTGATCCGTAACATATGGTAATCTCTATGTTTAACTTTTGAAGAACTGGCACTGTTTTCTACTCTGGCTGTACCGTTTACATTCCCATCAGAAATGGATGAGGATTTCAGTATCTCCACATTCTTGCCAATACTTGTTATTTTCTGATAATAGCCATCCTAGTGGGAATGACAGGGTGTCTCAAGGTAGTTTTGACTTGCATTTTAACAATGAACATCTTTTCATGTGTTTATTGGATAGTTGTACATCTTAGGAGGAATGTCTATTCAAGTCCTTGAACCATTTTTTGAGTGGGTTTGTTGTTTTGCTAAGTTGTAGTAATTTTTTTTAAAAAATGATATATATTTTTTCTAATTGTACTTCAGGTGGAGGTTTACAGGACAAATAGTTTCTCATGAAACAGTAGTACACATATTGTTTTATGGCATTGGTTAACAACCCCACGACATGTCAACCCTCTCCCTTCTCGACCTTTTTTTTTCCTGGTGAAAATACACATAGCCAAAGATATACCATTTCAAAAATTTCTACATGCACAGTTCAGTGACATCGACTACGCTCTTCCAATTGTGCTGCTATTCTCACTTTAGATGAAGGTTTACAGAACAAAATAGTTTCTCATTAAACAGTTAGTACACATGTTACCCTATGACAATGGTTAACAACCTCACAACACATCAACACTATCCTTACTCAACCTTGGGTTCCCTATCACCAGCTTTCCTGCTTCCTTCTGCCTTCTAGCCCTTGTCCTTGGACTGCTGTGCCTCATTAGTCCCATTTGGTTTTATGGGGCTGTCCGCTCCTCGGCTGAACGGTGAACCTCGGAAGTGACTTCGCCACTGAACTAAAAGGGTGTCTGGGGGCCATACTCTTGGGGTTTCTCTAGTCACCTTTAGGCCAGCAAATTTGGTCTTTTTTTTGTGAGTTAGAATTTTGTTCTATATCCTTCTCCAGCTCTGTCCAGAACTCTCTGTTGTGATCCCGGTCAGAGCAGTCAGTGGTGGTAGCCGGGCACCATCTAGCTGTACTGGACTCAGTCTGGTGGAGGCCTTGGTAGCTGTGGTCCATTAGTCCTTCAGACAGAATGAACAATTTTTGATAATTGTATGAAATTCTGAACTTCTTTAACACTGGTGCTAAGGATTAGAAGTGACTACTTCATGCTCACCACATCCAACCCTCTCCCCAATCTAATCTCAAACCACATACCCATATAGATCCGTGGTTCATAGCTTCACTTCCAGGCTAGAATCTCCTGGGGAGTTTGAGAAAACACCATTGCCCTACCACAGACCAGGAGCCCCCGGGTGGTGCAGATGGTTAATACGCTTGGCTACTAATGGAAAGGCTGAAGGTTTGAGTCCACCGAGGAACCTCGGAAGAAAGGCTTGGTGATCTACTTCTGAAAAATCAACCATCGAAAACCCTATGGAGCACAATTCTACCCTGACACACATGGGTTGCCATGAGTCAGAAATGACTTGATGTCAACTGATTTGGTTACTGCAGACCAATTAAATCGGAATCTCTGAGAGTGTGGGCTGGGCATCAGTACTTCTTAAAATTCTCCTCAGTGTTTTTAATGTGCAGCCAGGGTTGTGAGCCACTGGGCCAGGCTAACCTTATTTACAACTATTTGTTCAGTGCCTCTCAACTTTTTTTTATCACACGGCCTCCAAAGAAAAAGATACCAGCTCTGGGGTAAATGGAGGGGCTGCTTGCAGCTGGAGGCAGTGGTCTGGGGACTGCAGCCTTTCTGAGTCCTGCCTGGCTTCCTGAGGGCTGAGGGAATCAATATTTCGGCACACCTGTGACTCATCCAGCACCCAGGTCTCACCAGTTGGAAAGCTTCATTTTATTGCACGTATTTGTTGTATTTTGGGAGGATCCTAGTGCAATCTGGGTAATTACAAGGTCTTTAATAAGGCTGTATTGTACTTTTACAGCTTTACTGAGATATAGTTGATATACAATAAACTGAACCTATTTAAAGTATATAATTTGATAAGTTTGGCAAATGTATATACCGTGAAACCATTACTACAATCAAGACAATGAACATACTCCTCACCCCCTAAAGTTTCCTCATGCCTCATGGTAACCTATCCCTCTCCTCACCCATTTCTCAGGCAACTACTCATCTGCTTTCTGTCACTATCGATTAGTTTGCATTTTGCAGGATTTTATATAAATGGAATCATATAGTATATATTCTTTTGTCTAGTTTCTTTTTCTTAGCTTAGTTATTTAGAGATTTACTCATGTTATTGCAAGTATCAGTAATTTGTTCTTTTTTGTTGCTGGGTAGTATTCAATTATATGTATATATCACAATTTGTTTATCGATTCTCCTGTTGATGGACTTTTGGGTTGCTTCCAGTTTTTGAATCTTACAAATAAAGCTGCTATGAAGATTCATGTACACAAGTCTTTGTGTGGAAATATCCTTTATTTATTCATTTTGATAAGTAAATAGGAGTGGGATAGTTGGGTCATATGGTAGGTGTATATTTAACTTTTTAAGAACCTGACTGTTTTCCAAAGTGGTTGTACAATTTTACATTCCCACCAGCAGTGTATGAGAGTTCCAGGTGCTCCACATTCTTACCAACACTCGGTATGGTAAATACTTTCTATTTTAGCCATTCTAGTTGCTGCTTAGTATTTCATTGTTATTTGAGTTTGTATTTCCATGATGACGATGTTGAACATCTTTTCATCTGTACGTCTCATAAGGTCTGTTATAACAGGGCTCTAGTAATGTCTCCTTATTGTTGTTATTAGTTAATGTCTAGTCAACTTCAACTCGTGACGACCATATGTATAATAGAACGAAGCATTGCCCAGACTTGTACCATCTTCATGATATTGTTTCCTTGACTATCATTAATATAGTCCAGCCCACCAATTTAAACCCTTCATAATTTATAGCCTTTGATCACATCTCCTCTCAGCTGTCCTCTTTAAACTGACTGAAGACCCCTTGTTTTCATTGTCTTCTCTTAGCTCATGGAAGGTGCCCATACATAGATGAATGGGTCGCTGGGTGGGTGTGATAGGTAGATAAATGAAATTGCTTTGATGTCTCTTTTTTTCTCCATTTTTCTGTTTCTTTCCTTCTGTTGTCATCACTCAAGAAACAGACACTGGCCCAGATTATGTCACTTAAGTCAAATTATGAAGAACGATCTTTGTGTGATTCAGTGAGTGATATTTTTACCTCTTGCCTACAGGTACAAAGACACCATGCCCCAACCCTCCAGACCTGACCTTGGCAGGAAGTAGACGTCTTTCCTTATCTCCTCCATCCCCCATCCTCACCATGTCTTCGACTCAGGGCAATGGGGAACACTGGAAGTCCCTGGAGTCGGTGGGCATTAGCCGCAAAGAGCTGGCGATGGCCGAAGCCCTGCAGATGGAGTATGATGCTCTGTCCAGGCTCCGGCATGACAAGGAGGAGAGCAGAGCCAAGCAGAACACAGACCCCTCTCTCATCAGCTGGGACAAGCCTGTTCTGGACTTCTTCACCAAGCCAGCGGGCAGGCGGAATGACCTCAAGCTTCTTCGTGGTCTCTCTGGCTCTGATCCTACCCTCAATTACAACTCGCTCTCCCCACAGGAGGGGCCACCCAACCACTCTACCTCCCCGGGCTCCCAGCCTGGCCCAGATCCCTGGCCCAAAGGCTCCCTGTCTGGAGACTATCTCTATATTTTTGATAGTTCAGACGGGGGGCTCCCTCTGTCCCCAGGACCAGGGGACGTGGATGGCTCTTCCAAAAATCTATCCCCACCTCCTCTGCCTCCCCGAGTCTCTATCTGGAACACTCCCCCTCTGCCTCCCAGAAAGGGGTCCCCCTCTTCATCCAAGATCTCCCAGCCCAATGACATCAACACTTTTTCTTTGGTCGAGCAACCGCCAGGCAAATTGCTAGGGCATCGGATCCTAGAAGAGGAAGAGGAGCCGGGAGGTGGGGGTCAGGGTCGCCTCCTGGGGTCCGTGGACTATGATGGTATCAATGATGCAATTACGCGACTCAACTTAAAGTCAACCTATGATGCAGAGATGTTGCGGGATGCCACCAGGGGCTGGAAGGAGGGCCGAGGGCCCCTGGACTTCAGCAAGGACACCCCTGGAAAACCTGTGGCCCGGAGCAAGACTATGCCCCCTCAGGTGCCCCCTCGCACCTATGCCTCCCGCTATGCCAACCGGAAGAATGCAGCACCTGGCAAGAACCGCAGGATTTCGGCCACTCCGGTGAGGACCTTATTGTGCTGCTTCTGTGCCCTTTGCCCTGCATCATTCAGAGAGCCTAGTCTCTTCTTTGCTTTTCCAAACCCACATCCACCAAGTACCCACACCTTTAGTCCTCCCCTCAACTTCTGCCAAGGAGCCCTGGTGGTGCAGTGGTTAAGCACTCAGCTGCTAATCGAAAGGTCGGCAGTTCGAACCCACCAACTGCTCTGTGGGAGAAAGATGTGGCAGTCTGCTTCCGTAAAGATTACAGCCTTGGAAGCCCTATGGGGCAGTTCTACTCTGTCCTGTAGGGTCGCTATGAGTTGGAATTGACTTGACGACAATGGGTGTTTTGGGGGGTATTCTACTTCTGCCATTGGGACCCTGGATCCTGGTAGGGGACAGGCCCAAGGTAGGCCGGGGGGAGGGGAGGAGGGAAAAGGAACCAGTTGAGCCAGGGCTTTTTTCAGGGCCAAGTTCTGCATCCCTTGGCCAAAATGGCTCTGCTGGGAATTAGAACCCTAATTCTTCTTCAGTGCGTGCCCACTTCATGATCTAGGGGCTGAATTAGGACTTAGGAGGTTTGTTATTGACTGTGGCTGAATGGCCTTGAGGACTTGAGCAAGTTGTTTCCCATTTCTAAGTCCCTGTTCTGCCAAAAACACCGTGTGGCAGTGAGAATCAACCATAGCATTGGCCCCTGTGTGGTGCTCTGAATCCCAGCTCTGGTGCAGAGCCCCCAGCAACCCTGCCTGAGAGCTGTTGTTAAGCTGACCAAGTGCTTGTCCAAAGCCACACCGCAAGGAATGGCAGAACCAGCCTCAATCCTGGTCTGTCTTGTTCCGAAGTCCACCCTCTTTTCACAATGAAAGTATTTGGAAAAATTACGCAGTGTAACGGTAACAACTTTTATCAATACATAGTATAAGACAGCATAGTATCATAGTATCTGCATAGACACACTGCTCGTGTCCCAGGGCAGCTTTGATCTTTTTTCTGGTTAAAAAAAGTATCAGCATCTCCATGGGTGGAGATCTGAAGATCACTTATGTGTTTCACCCTTGACCTCCGGAAACCCTGACCCCAGAAGTAGTCAAGAGGCACCTTCCTGGCTGATGACTTATGTAGTAACCTGGGGTTCCAGGTTATTCCCTCCCTGTTTCCTCCTTATCCATTGTCTAAGGGATACTGGGGCTTTCTCACCTTGTGTCCAGCAGTTGGGATCCTTCCCAGCTCTCTGGAAAGAGCCACACAGTCCTTCCTTCCTTTGCTTCTGCTAAGAGAGGCCCCTAAAGCAGAATCAGCTCCTGGGATCAGCCATGAGCTCGGAGCTCAGAGCTTTTTAAAGGGCCCGCTCAGAGAGGTGGGGCTATTCCCGCTATTTATAGGGCCTGGGAGAATCCTGTTCCCAGCTCTGAGCTCCTAGCACAGGGCCGGGCCTACTCACTGGCTGGGCCACCCTGGTAGGTGGTCACCTCTGTCACTCCCTCTGTCTGCCTCCCCGCACTCGCCCACCCTCCCCCAGCCCCTATGTGTCATCGGTGTTCCCAGAGAGCTCCCTCCGTTCAGAATCTCCTGGAAGAAGCTAGGGCAGAGCAACAAGGTCTTGCCTTTTCCCACGGGGAAATGCAGCCCCGGGCCTCTCCACCTCAGCTTGGTGCAGGGGCTCAGCCCACTAGGAGGGGGGACCCCGCGGGCCCTCGACCCACACCACCACCCCGCTTTCGCCGGGCTTCCAGCCGGAAGGACCGTCTTTATCCTGGGCCTGCAGAGGCAGCTCTGGAAATGGCTGGCTCCAAATGGCAGCCCAGTACCCCTGCTATCAGCCTCTGCTCAGCAGACCCCCCCAGCCAGCATCGGGCGATGCCACCAGGGCCTGCCAGCTGGGCAAACGTAAGTGGCTTTTGTTTTCTTATGGTGCCAGCGAGTGGTACTGAAAGGGCATGGAAATGGCCTTCAGCAGCCACTCTGTTCTCTCTCTCTTCTTGCCTTCCCCTCCTCCCCTTCTCTATCTCTCGCTCACTTTTGTGGGTTAAATGCTGACAGTGATACTATTGTTTTGACTGGGACACAGGCACAAACTTGGCAGAGCCAGGGCCTCATGTGCCAACTGCCTCTGCTGCACCCTCCCCTCCCGTCACCCCCATGCACACGCAGGGGAGCAAGGCAGAGGGAGAGGGTCACCCAGAGGAAGCAATCTGGATGCTCAGATGAGGAACTCAGTTGCTGCCATCTCCCCCAGGGGCAGAGGGGGCTGAGAATAGTGGGTGGGGAGGCTGAGAGGGAAGGTGCTGCAGTGTGTGCACTCCCCTGGAAGCAGCTGTTGGACCCAGCTGCCCTCACCGGATGCCTTTGCCTGCGGATGCCTTTGCCGGATGCAGGCTGGGGACTCCATCCGAGCTGCAGCTTCATCCTTCGTGTGGCCTCCCCCACCACCCTGAGCAGGTCTACCAGGCAGAAACGTGTCACGCACCAGCTCTCCCCCTCAGCTTCCTCTTGCTGAGGGCTGGGCTGCCTTGTTTGAGGGCTTCTTTAGGGCCTCTCATGGGTGACTGAAAACAGCTCTGGGGTGGGAGCGCCTCTGGAGCCTTATCTGAGATAGTCCCCACCACCATACACTTCTTCTTCGAGAGGAAGTGAGGCCAGGGCAGGCTTCCTGACTTTCCAGCTGTTCAGAACCAGAGGACTCGGGGCTTGGAGTTGCCAGGCCTTGTACTAGGTTCTCCCCTGCCCAGACAGCTGCTTTGACGCTTTCTTCCTCAAATAGCATTTGCTGAGAAGGCACGTGGGTCTGAGTCATCTCCTCCATCTGAGGGCTCTGGGGTACTCTGCTTTGGGTGGCTGGAGCTTTTTATGGATGTTCAGGCATTTGTCCAGGGCCAAGCTTCCCTGGGGACCATTTGGGCAAGTCCCTTGCCATGGCCTCAGTGGTGGGGCAGGGGAAAAAGCTGCCAGCTCAGTGCACGCCAAGCCCATGGGAGCGTCCCTCCAGAAAGCCCTCCAGTGTCCTGCTGGCCTGAGTTTATCAGGCTCATCCCCCTCTGGAAGAGGGTTTGGCCATACTCTTGTCCATCCCACCCAGGCTTCCGGCCTCAGCCAAGCTTCAACTCGTGTTTTTCAGCTTGGCTCTTGATCTCCCAGGACCACAGATAAATATGTTCCTGGATCACTCATGTTTTCTTGTGCTCCTTTATCTGGTTGCTGGAAGGCTGCAAAGCCTTTGCACTCAGAGTTTAAGAGTTTATTGGGAGTAGCACCCCTGGGGAGGGGATGCCATGAGGGAAAGGGCACTGAGCCAGCTGCTCTTCCCTTCAAGGTGGGCTCGCGGCCCCGCACCATTGCCAGTGGACACGAGTTGTTTGAGGTCTCGGAGGAGAGGGATGAGGAAGTTGCCGCATTCTGCCACATGCTGGATGTGTAAGAGATAAAGAATGGGGCAAGGGGTTTGGGAGGGTTGTAGGGGCTGGGGAGGTGGGTCACCCATTTCAGAACTTTCTTTGGAAAGGAAGAAGAGCCATATTTAATAAACCTTAATTCATAGCTGTGGAATTTTCCTGCAACAGGTGTTTGCAGGCATTTTGAGATTCCAGAAGTTTCACATTTTTAACAAAATCCATGAAACCATCTAACAGTCAGGTTATCCCCTTCACTTTAGCTCTGGTCCTCAGTTGCTCTCAGGGGCAAATGCACTTCCGGTGAAGATAAGAGTGTAATCCAGAGCTAAAAGGGAAAGAAAATTGATTCAGAAAAATCCTATGATAAACTAAACATGGGAAGCTTTGTCCTTTTAGAACTATCCCTGCTGTTCTACTCTGCTTGTGAAACGTTTTGTAACTGTAGCAAATGTCTCAGGAACACCATTTCCCAGAGGAGCTTGCCCACGCCCCCATCCTGGCCTGCAGACCTAGAGGGTCCGGCTGAGTGGGGACAGGGGGCCTTAGGCTGAAGGGCGGGAGGGTCCCAGCAGGCCTCTTCTCCGACTGCTCTCTTCTGAAGGCACAGCGAGGGTCCTTTTCCCTGTCTTCCTGCACAGCCTTCGATCGGGCTCTGACATCCGAGACTACTCTCTCACTGGATATGTCTGGAGTGCAGTCACCCCAAGCCCAGAACACCTTGGGGATGAGGTAAACCTGAAGGTGACCGTGTTGTGTGACAGCCTGCAGGAGCCACTCACTTTTACCTGCAACTGTAAGTTAGTTGGGGGTTGAGTGTCCCTTGAGATGGGGTGGGGATGAGTTGGTGCCCTGGACGGTAGGATCCTTGTGGCTCTGATGAGGGGCAGTGGGGAAGCTCCTTTGGGAGACTGGCTGTAGGGCCAATTTTCTAGGTCCACAGTAATTTTCCAACCCCAAGCTGTTTGCCTGCTTCATCTGTTGTTGATGTTGCTGGAGAAGGCATAGCTGGGAATGGGGATCAGGGTGGGGAAGCCGAGCCCCACCTGCCCCAGAACCCATCATCGTTGCCCCCCTGACCCACTCTTCCAGGTTCCTCCACTGTAGACTTGCTCATCTACCAGACCCTGTGCTACACCCATGATGAACTGAGGGATGTGGATGTGGGTGACTTTGTGCTGAAGCCCTGTGGGCTAGAGGAGTTCCTGCAGAAGTGAGTGCACTGGTGGGGACAGGGGGGTCAGGGAGTACCATCTGCCTTCTGGGTAGAGGGATTGTGAGGAGGGTTCAGGGGGCTGGTGCTGGGCCCCGGGCTGGCAGCTAGGCCCCAGTCCCACAGCTGGGATCCCTGCTTTCTGGGCACACTCTCAGCCACGTCACACTTTCCCCAGGAGGTCTATCTTCCAGCAAGGTTGGCCGGCTTCCTGGGCCAGATCTGCTGTGGAAGGAGCTTGGAGCTGGGATTAGGCAAAGGCTGGGTCATATCTGCTTCCAAGCTTCTGCGTGTGGAGAGATGTGTGTGGGAAGGGGGAAAGAACTACATGAGGTTGTTTCTCCTGCTCTAGTGGATTTGAGGCAGCTTCGTGGCTGGGGCAGAAGAAGGACTAGGCAGAAGCGCGCTTGGGGAATCTAGGGGGAAAATGACAGTTGTTCTTTCTTCCCCTTTGCCTTGCCAACAAGCCTCTTCTCCCTGGCTGACACGTGCAGCTGGTTCTCCTCACCAAAGTCTCACCTCCAATGCCTCCCCATCCAGTGCCCAATGCAGAAGTCAGCCTTCCTGGAAAGTCTGATGTGGACCAGCTGAGGCCATCCCCTTTCCACTCCCCTGGCTCTGTGGAGTGCGAGGTGAAGGGAAAGTAGGGGGCAGATTAGGGGGTGAATGTCCCTCGGGTGGCACAGCCTGTGTGGCAGCCTGTAGAACAAGCAAGAGGGCAGCAGACAGATAAGGAGATCAGCTTTCCTCCCCCAACCTGCAGACTAGCTACTCCCCACCACCTCTGGCCTTGGAGAAAGCAGGCCTTGGGTGTGGGGGACAGAGAGAGAGGCAGCCTCCGCCTCCCTTCTTAGGAGTGCCCGTAAGTGCCACCCCTCGCTTTTTCCCCCTCTCACTTCCAGGTCTGGATGCAAGGGTGGTTGATCTGTGTCTTGAGCATAGGGCTGGCAGTCAGGACTGAAGGTTCATTTCTTGGCTGATCTCTTCAACCTTAGGGATATCATGGGGCTTTTTTCTGGCTCTAAGTCCTTGTCTGGAAAGCTGGGGGCAGCACACCAGGGGCCACCGTGAACATGTGCTCCGTGTGGGGCTCATTTGTGCACCCTCACCTGGGGGAATAGGAAGGGGTCCTGGATGCAAGGTGTCCTGGCAGAGAGCCCAGGCAGCCTGCACTGTAACAGGGAAACAAGGGGCATGCTGGGCAGATATGAGCTTCTGGTCACACCCATACGGCCTGTGTGGATTCTGGCTTGTCACTTCCTCGTTGTGGAACCCTGCACCTCTGTTACCTCTGTAAAATGTAGTAAGGATTAACTGTGAGAATGACCCACTGGGCACCTAATATTAACAGGGAAGGGCCTGTGCAAAGACAGGAACGCATGAGGATATGGATTAGGTAGACTGTCAGTTCCCTGCAGCAACACTGTTCCTGCAGCCCCTGAACCAGAGGTGGTGGGTAACCAGTCAGGTTCCTGACTTCCTGCTGAGACCCAGTGGAGTGTTCTGAGCGAAGTGGAACAGGAAGGTCCTTGTCCACGCTCATGCCTCTTCTGCTCTAACCTGAGTGCTCCAGGGAGAACTTTCCACAGAGAGGATTGAGCAAATCTCCAGAGGACCTGTGTCCCTGACTCCCAGTCCAGGCATCCTCCTCCCCTTCTGAGGCTCTTTTCTTCCCTCCCACTCCAGAGAAAGCCCCAGTGCTGCTTCCCCACCCCAGAGTCCCTGGGTGGTGCAAATAGTTAAGTGCTTGACTACTGACTGAAAGGTTAGCGGTTCGAACCCACCCAGAGGAACCTGGGAAGACAGGCCTGGTGATCTGCTTCTACTCTGCAAACACGGAGTCACCAAGAGTCGAAATCGACTCCATGGCAACTAGTTTGGGTTTGGGTTCCTGGCCTAGCCCCCAGGCCACTGAACACAGACAGCTACCCTGGGCTGGGGTGGAAAGGACCCTCTGGGGGTTCCAGAGAACTGCTAGCTCCCAAGAAGGCCCTCAGGTATTCTACCCCTGCCTAGTAAAAAACTGAAACCAAACCCATTGCCATCGAGTTGATCCCAACTCATAGTGACCCTATAGGATGGAGTAGAACTTTCCCATAGGGTTTCCAAGGAGGAGCTCATAGATTTGAACTGCTGACCTTTTGGTTAGCAGCCATAACTCTTAACCACTGCGCCACCAGGGCCCCACCCCTGCCTGGTAGGAGGGTCTGATACTGAGGGGGAAGCTGCAGGCCAGGATGCAGGCTTCCTTCCGATAAGAACCTTGAGATAGTCCTGGGGGAGGGTTGGGTTTCCTGCCACCTCCCCCACACGTACCACACTCTTCCTTCCTCCCAGGACGCTCCCATAGACCTACCCCACAGCCCAGCCGCTCCACCCCCAAGTTCTGGCTGCAGCTCAGTCTTAGCAGGTTGGGGACAAGATGGGAGCCCTGACCCCATTAGGATGTGGAGAACCCCCCAAGTCCTAGCTGGACCTGGGTTGGCCTTGGGCCCTGGAACCTCCATCATTGTCTCCACATACCTTTCCCCTTTGCTTTGCTCCACTCCCTTCCGTATCTGCCTAGATTCGCAGCTCTGCTGAGGAAGGCAGTCCCTTTCCGGCTTCTGTTACTCAGCTGTGGGGACCCAGCCAGCTTGAAATGCTGGCTTGGAGGTGGGACTCACACTCAGCCCTTTCTCTTGGGCTTCCTTTCTGACTAAGGTGTGATGTGAGGGGAGGCTGAGTCACAGAGGGACTCCCTAGACCTCCTTCAGCTTTTCTGAAACTGAGGGGTCTCATGTGTGGGCACTTGAACAGTGGGAAGGCGTGGAGGTGGGTGTTTCTCAGGAAATCTGTAGGGATTTTTAGAGATTTTTGTGGTTATTCACAATCAGGCCGGACCCCTGGGAACAGGAAGCAGAACTTGGATGGGCTTGGGGATAACAGATCTGGAATCTTGGTGGGATTGCTTTGTTTGGCCTCCATACCCTGGTTGGTGCCAGTAGGGGGTGGGAGACTTAGGACCACACTGGAGAGAGGGTGCCAGTCGCTGAGCCCCATGCCTGAGCCCAGGCTGACTCTCACCATGTCTCCTCATAGCTGTCCTTATACCAAAGCTAAGAAATGGGGTTTCAACAGCTTCCCCTTGAGAAGTCCCTCTGTCTCCCACTCTCCAGCAGCTCCCACCCCTGGAGGGAGCTAGTGACAAAGATGTAAGTCATAAATACCGAGGAGGGTTAATATTTGTGCAAACCAAGGGTTAAGTGTATTAGGTGGCTTTTGTTTAGACAGATCTCTACTGTGACATTTTCCAGGAGCCAGGTACTACCTCCTCGCCTCCACCTTCATCTTGCTTATCTCTCCCCAAAGCTAAGGTATGCACCTCCCTTCCCACTGAGTCCCCAGGATGCTAATGGTCTTGTCGCCCTACCCCACCAGCAAGCACGCCTTGGGCAGCCATGAGTACATTCAGTACTGCCGGAAGTTTGACATCGACATTCGACTACAGCTGATGGAGCAGAAGGCTGTACGCAGTGACCTGGCCCGGACGGTTGGTGTCTGGGGAGGCTGATGGTTGCACAGAGCTGGGGAGGTGGAGTGGGCAGAGGGTGATGACGTGGAACATGCTGAGTGGGAGGTTGGACAGGAGCCCTGGGCTGAGATAAGGGCACCACCCCTCTCTGAATGGGACACTTGTCACACAGGTGAATGATGACCAGAGCCCTTCCACCTTGAACTACCTCGTCCATCTACAGGAGAGGCCAGTGAAACAGACCATCAGCAGGTGAGAGTGGGTGCCATCTTGGATATAGTCCAAAGAGGAACTGTGAGGGGATCCCAATGGATCCTGTGCTTTCTTTCCACCAGGTGTCAGGGATTAGCGCCCAAAAGTTTTGTCAGGGAAGGTCCCCACTCCAGAGCATGTTACACCTCTTCCCTCTAGTACTTTGCCATCATTCTCTAGGTGAGAGGTAGTGAAGTAGAAAGAAGTCTCCCTCCTTCTGTCTTTATGGAACATATGGAAAGATGGGAACCTCTTTAAACCAGAGTCTGATTTCTGAGCTGAGGAGAGGAAGGGAGAAAGGGAGTGGGATAGGGTCCCCTGTGCACGGGTTTTTTTCTGACCTCTCCTATGATTTTTTTTTTCTGCCCCCAACTCCCCAGGCAGGCCCTGAGTCTTCTGTTCGACACTTACCACAACGAGGTGGATGCCTTCCTTTTAGCTGATGTAAGTACAGGGCATAGGGGCTGGCCCAGCTGGCAGAAGCTCCTCCCTCCTCTCCCCCAGTCCTTCTAGGATCAGCCAGCACTCTACAGGGTCTGGAATAGACACTGAAATTGTGTCCAGCAGAGCATTTCTTTTCATCCCGCAGCTCATGGACAAACCAAGACGAGCAAGTTTGTAGAAAGAAGCTCTGCTCCTTTGTAAAAGTAGATCAGGAGCTGTGCCCTGATCCCTGTGTCTGGAATAAGATGTCCCTAAATCTGCTGGACGTAGCGTTGTCTCCCCAGCTGCTGTACTTGAATGCGCATTGGCGTGTGCATCCTATGAGCAGTGCCCAGCGGCCTCTGATTTGAGAGGGGTGTGCTGGTGTCGCAGGTGGAAAATCATCTGGAGGCGGAGGGGAGGGGTCAGGACTCTCACAGCTTAAAGCAAGTGGCACAGCTCCCACTAGGATTCTCCTATAGTTTAAGCCTTCACACCCATGATAAACATTTGCCCCAAATGTCTTTGTGCAGAAGAGGCTCAGACAAACCAAAAAACCAAACCCACTGCTGTCAAGTCAAATTCTAGTGACCCTCTAGGACAGAGCAGAATTGCCCCATAGGGTTTCCAGGGCTGTAGCAATCTTTATGGAAGCAGATTGCCACAGCTTTCTCCCACGGAGTGGCTAGTGGGTTCCAACTGCTGACTTTTTGGTTAACAGCCAAGCGCTTAACTACTGCACCACCAGGGCTCCTCAAAGAGGCTTAGACAGTGATCTTCAAAAAACAATCCTTGTCTCATTGATCCGTTTAACAGTGGTCATAGATTCTTGCCTTTTGGGAGGGCAGCACTGTATCTAGTTCAGCCCTCTACTCACTGCCAGAACCCCTTCCATAGCAGCCCTCTGACCATGTGCAGTGATGAAGGGAGAGTTCTCTGCACACCTACTGTGTGCTAGTCTGGCTCTATGCTAGTGGCTGCTGGAGACAGAGAAGTATAAGAATAGTCTCAGCCTTCAGCGAGCTTGTGTTCTTGTTAGCAAAATGGGATAATAACATTCAGTGATCAATAGAAGGGAGATGGCAGTGAGTGAACCAAGGCCTCTTGGAGGGCAGTGGAGAGGGGGATTGTCTAGGGCTAAAGTATTCAGAGAAGGAGCCCTGGTTAAGCACTCAGCTGCTGACCAAAAGGTCAGTGGTTCAAGCCCACCAGCCACCCTGCAGTGGAAAAATGTTGCAGCCTGCCTCTGTAAAGATGACAACCTTGGAAACTATAGGGCAGTTTCTGCTGTATCCTATAGGTCGCTGTGAGTCGGAATCGACTCAATGTCGGTGGGTTTTGTTTTAAAGCATTCAGGGAAGGCTTTGTGAAGAAGGTAGGATTTTAGCTGGTCCATGATTTAAATTTACGTGGGACAGACAGGACAGGTGAGGGAATTCCAAATGTGAAAACTGCAGGAGCAACAGTGCAGAGGGGAGGGCGTGGGTGTGGGAACTGAGATGAGATTTGTCTGGAAATTCTGTGGTGACATGTATGAGAAACAAGGCTGAGTGGCCAGGCCTCAATATGGCCTCTTTGGACCCCTTGCTATTCCCTCCAACCCAACCAACTCATTGCCATCGAGTCAATTCCAACTCATAGTCACCCTGTAGGACAGAGTAGAACTGCCCCATAGGGTTTCCAAGGAGCAGATGGTGGATTTGAACTGTCGACCTTTTGGTTAGCAGCCGAGCTCTTAACCACTGTACCACCAGGACTTCTGCTGTTCCCTAGAGATTGGTTTTCTTTCATGTCCCTGGGGGAGACCCTGTGTGTATTTGCCACAAGTAGATGGGAGAGGACGGAGGGAGGCTGGGAATGAGAGGACATTTAGCGGGGGATGTCTGAAAGGAGAGTTGGGGCATGTGGGCCTGGTCCATTTAAATTTACTGGGAGAGAGTGTTCACTGATGCTTTAAACTAAAGCATGAATTCCACTGGTGACTTTTGAGGGTCATGAGCCCCTACTCCTCCTAGCCCATCGACCCATTCCTTCCAGGACTGGGGTGGTGGGGGAGGGGGTTGGAGTCCAAGAGTGCTAGGCTCGCATGCTGCCTCCCACAGGGGGACTTCCCACTGAAGGCTGACAGGGTGGTCCAGTCCGTCAAGGCCATCTGCAACGCCCTAGCTGCTGTGGAAACCCCAGAGATCACCAACGCTCTCAACCAGCTGCCCCCCTGCCCCTCTCGCATGCAGCCTAAAATTCAGAAGGTAAAGAGCTCAGGCACTTTAGGATGGGGAAGGAGGGAAGGGGAACAGTCCCAGGTTACTGAATTGCCCCATTGCTCGGGCAATGAGGTGTCCACTCATAAAAAGATTCTTTATCTATACCTCCTTCTTTTATGAATCCATGGTTTAATCACGAGCGTTCTTAGCAAATGAATGCCAGGTGTGCCCCCCTTTCTGAGGATGAGAGCGGGCTAGGGGCTGCCCCTGGGACTGATGGCCGTGTGTAGCTTCGGCCAGCAAAGGCTTTAGTCCCACCCCTGAGGCATTGCCTGCAGTGTGCATACCCATCAGGGTGCCAAACCAGACGAGGAGGAAGATCTCTCCGGAGCCAGGTGTTCCTCCTCCCTCTTTCGGGGCGACTACAGTGTGGCTGTGTGTCATGCAGACAGTGCCCCCAGACTGTGATTGGCAGAGAGGGGCTGAGAGCTGGGATGTCTCATCTGGGTGGACACCACGATCTTATCCTACGTCAGGCTCAGCCTGTCCATCACACAGACCTGCCGCAAACCATGATTCTATCCTCCCGGGGGAATCTCTGCTCCTCAAATTGCAACTCAGCCTGGTCCAGATGCGCACAGCTGTACACAGCCCTTCTTCTAGCTGTGGCAGCAGAGGCCATGGCCCTGAAGCTCCCCTCCCTCTTCTTTTTCCCCAACAGGATCCGAGCGTCTTGGCTGTGAGGGAAAACCGAGGTAGGGGAACTGCTTTCTGTCTTTATCCAGTAGGAGTGGCTGAAAACTGTATTTGGTGCCCAGATTCCTTGTTCTCCCTGCCCCCCTTGATTTATGCGTCCGAGTTTGCATGTGTCTGTGTGTGTGTGTGTGTGTGTGTGTGCGCGTGTGTGCATGTGTGCGTGTGTGTGTGCGCGTGTGTGCGTGTGTGTGTGTGCATGCATGTGTGTGTGTGTGTGTGTGTGTGCGTGCGCGTTTTCCTATATGAGGTGTGAGCACAGCTGGAGAGCCTATTTCTTTCCACCAAGTGTTCTCTCATTATTTTTACTAGTTATTCCTGGTGATGTCCCTGGACGATTGTGGTGAGGAGGAATAGGTATGGGGGTGGGCGTGGGAGGCAGAGCTAGCCCTGGGATCCAAATGGGACAACTTCCATTTGGTTAGTTGTGATTATTCTCCAGGTGGCTCATAACCCCTAGGATTCCAATTTAGAATGGGCCTTGGGAGAGGGTGATAAAAGAATTTTTCACTAGGATTTCCCCTGTTGAGTCTTTCAAGCAGAACTTTGCCCTACAAAGCCCATAGCCGTAGGATTGTTAGGATAGTGATTCCTAGTCTTTGGGATTTCACGGACCAGTAAAATGTCCCAAAAGTTGTTTTGGGGACCAACATACAGTTGCCAACTTCTTATTTTGCCAACCACTGACTTTTTAAAAAAATAACCTGTGGTCATTGTAACTATCATCTTCTAAAACAAAGGACATTGTAACACTAAGTTGCAATAAGTACAAGTAAGGACAATGTTTAAAATGGAATAACTATCACTTTATGAAAAGCTCATAACATGGTCCTGCTTTTTTCTCATATCCCCATAGATGGGTGAATCTTGCCATGTGTATTAGAAACTGACTGGCATTTGGGAGCCACTGTCCCAGGCTATCGCATCCTAGCCAGTGCCATGGCACCGAGATGGGGTTTGCTGAGGCCTCACGTGGTTTCCTGCTGCCCTTGATTTCACAGAGAAAGTGGTAGAAGCACTAACAGCTGCCATCCTGGACCTGGTGGAGCTATACTGCAACACATTCAATGCAGACTTCCAGACTGCGGTGCACGGGAGCCGCAAGCATGGCCTGGTCCAGGAGGCCTGCCACTTCTCCAGGCCCCTGGCCTTCACTGTCTATGCCACCCACCGCATCCCCATCACCTGGGCTACCAGGTGAGCTCAGGCTGATGGCCTCTAGGAAGGGAGCACAGTTAGACTTGCTGATGGCATCTTCTGTCTGCATGTGACCACTGATCTAAGTCTTAGGATATGTGGCATTGTCGTGCAGCCTGGCTGAAGGGGTGGGCTAAGTGCCTGAGGGGGGCCTGGGCTGGGACATCCCAGAGCTGGAGAGAGAAGGTGCGCTAGGAGATGGGAAAGGGGCAGGGTTCAGACCTTGCCACTTCCTCTCAGGGCTGGCTGTGTCGGCATCCCAGCCCCCTCCGGATCCAAGGCCAGCTGATGGAGACATGGGGACAGATGGCCAGTTCCCAGATAGAGTGCATGCCCCACAGCCAATGACTGCACTTCCCTGTAGACACACAATGGGAGGGGTGGGGAGGGGGGTGATGACCCTTTGTCTGGGGTTCCCCAGGCCTGCAGGGGTGGGTGGAAGGGGAGGTTCGTTTGGTAATCCCGGCTCCTGCCGGATCCGCATCATCCAAGGCCTGGGGGAATAAGCGCGGGGCCCCACCTCCAGCCCTTCCTTTCCCCCCCTCCCCTCCCTTCCCCTCTCTCTTTGTTCTTCACTTAATGTATTCCTCTGGGCCATTGGCAGAGAACAAAGGAGGCAGCCTGGGAAACCAGGGCCTTCTCTGACCTCTTCTGTCAGGCACCTGTCACGAGCCACAGGGACCCCCATGTGTTGGCATCCATGTCGGCATATGTTGTTTTTCTCCCCCACCCTCCTCGCCTGCGAGTGAGTGCATGCTAGTGCATGTGCGAACATACACAGACACACATGCATATACATAACACAGGCATGCAAACATACACACACACAGGAGCATCTGATAGCCTGGCCTGGATCTGTAGGGAGGGGCCAGAAGGCCTGTGCCCAGGGAAGAAGAAAAACCACCAGGCTCAGCATGGAACCTGAACTGGGCAGAGCAATCCAGATTGAGTTGCTTCTCTCAGAAACACTTCCTTAAATCCAGCTTGGTTGTCTTGTCCCCTGGCCCATGTCACAGTCCCCAGAGACTGTGAGTTTACTGAGGGGGTGGGGTTTGGTATTAGGGGAGCATTGGTTTGGGTGACTGAGGTTGGGTCTGGGTGCCCGGTGTCCTGATGTGCACCTTTTCTACGGCAGCTATGAAGATTTCTACCTCTCCTGCTCTCTCAGCCACGGCGGCAAGGAGCTGTGCAGCCCCCTGCAGACGCGAAGGGCTCACTTCTGCAAGTACCTCTTCCACCTCATCGTCTGGGACCAGCAGTAAGCCATTCCCCAGGCCCCAGTGTCCAGGCCATGTGCTACTCATCCGCGTGCATGCCCCTGGTGCCAAATAACCAGACTGGGACTCGGAGCTCATACCTGGCTTAAACCCAGACCCTGTTGCTAACCCTAACTAGACAAGTTCTTCCAGCCCTTGAGTCCCCATTACTTCCTTGACTCTTAAATAGTACAAGTATAAGTTCTACCTCTCAAGTTGTTATGAGGATCCGATGAGAAGTATTCATAAGCCATAAAGCACTATATAAACATTTTTTGTTTTGATCTTGCCTCCCTTAAAAAGTTTAAATAGTCCAAAGGATTCTTAACTTTTCCTTCTTCCCAAGGGTTCCATAGAATAGAGGGAGGGGACTGTGCTTTCTTGCTTAGAGATAGAGAAGGGAAGGTTGTCTAGGGGAAAGAATAATGGGCTTGAAGCCACAGGAGGAAGGCTCTATTTCTAGCTCTGTCTCTAATGCTAAGTTCTCTCTAGCCTCTCTCTGCCTCAGTTTCTCAAACCGTAAAATGGGGTTATTTGTTTAACTCAGAGGAAGTTATGGCACTGAAATGAGATAGGCAGACTATAAATATGAAACTGTAATCACTGTTCATTACGATAATAATGTTAATAAGTTGTCATCAGCCAAACGAAGCAGGAAGGAAATGGGGGCGAGGGTGCCTTGAATAGCAGTGTTGCAGGTGTCTGCCTGCCCTGTGCCTGATCTGGGCTGTGTTCTTCCTCCCTCCAGACAGTCAGAAAACCCCTAGTTTGCTGCCTCCACCCTCCCTTCCCCAGACTGACTGTCAGGTTTTATCTGGCCCTTGTGTGTACAGCAGAACTACAGCTTAAATATTTGGGGTGTGAATTAAAGAGGCTGAGGGGTGTCCTCGTGGAGGGCGAGAGTGCAGAAACAGTTAAACGAAGAGTCTGTGGAAGTGCTGTGATCCTTGGGTCCTTTTACAGGTGGACAACTGGGGAGTCAGACCCTCTCTCCTGTCCTTCACGTTTTATGTGATTCTTAGAGCAATAATGGTGCAAATGAAGGGCCTTCATCAAGCCGTCTCCAGAGCAAGAGAAACTCTTTAGAGGCAGAGAATGGCTGCACTAAATGGCTCTTGAGTTTCACCAGCTCTTTGGGGGTCTTTAACCTTAATTACTGCCAGCTGCCCAGGGAAAGGTTACAACACAGTGCTCTGGCCCAGGTGGACCCAAAAACTTGGTCTTAGCGGGTCGCAGGTATAGAAGCAGCCCACTTGCCCAGTGCAAGCCCCATCCTACCTCAGCCTACTCTAGGTCCCCAGGGCCTGTCTCATTCCATTTCCTGTCTGAGGTCTACCTCATACCCTACAGGGCTGGCCCTCTGCCTGCACCTGGTGGAGGGGTCACCCCAGCATTGCTGCCTGAATGCCTCATGGGAGACCTCTTGTCCCCTTCGTCGTCAAGACAAAGGCATTTGGGAGCAGGCGGTGCAGTGGAGGGTTCAGAGCACAGGCTTTGGGGCGAGTCATCCTCCCCTACTTACTGTCAGTGTGACCTTGGCCATGTCATTTAACCTAAAATGGAGAAGATGCAGTAAAACTTGCAAAAGCCAGAACCTGTGTAAGGCAGAAACCTGTCAAGAGAAGGAAAACACAAATATTTTCCACTAAAAGGAGAACTAGAAAAGTGGTAAGACTGCACCCTGTCAAAGCCAGAAAACTTACGAGACCTAGAAAAACAAGGCGGTCCCATCAAGTTCCGGCTCTCCCAGGTTTCACTGCCTAGGCTCATTGGAGGGGCAGTTAGGACATTGCAAGTAAAGTACTCGGCACAGTGCCTAGCCCGCGGTAGGTGCTTTCTTCTTCATCTTTCTGTTATTTGCTGTGGAAGCCCTCTCAGTCCCAGTTTCTCACTCCAGGTGACTGACACGGTGTGGATACGTGGGGATGTTTGTACACGGAAGTATTGTCTGTATAGCCCAGCTTCAGGGCAGTGATCCCAGTGTCACAGAGCGAGAGGTGCACAGGCATTGGGTACAGACATCACACATGTTAAGCGTATTCTCCTTTTCACTGATGAGGAAGCTGAGGGGCAGAGATGTGTGTTGCCCGGGGTTGTAAGTGGCAGAACCAAGGTTGGGACCAACTCGTGCTAGGAATCCTTCCTGGAGGAGGCAGCCCCTGTGATGTGATGTTCAGGAATGGGTTGCAGAGGGAAGAAGAGGGAGGAGGTTCAGGGCTGCAGCCAACATAGTGGCTACCCTGACAGACCCCGGGTGTAGATCCACGGTGGAGGTTTCAGTGGAGGATACACTCAAGGACTGAGGAGAAGTGGCCTTGGAATGTTCTAGGTGTTAAGGTTTCAGTTAGGAAGTCTCACTCCACTTTTCCCCCAGACACAAAGCAGGAAGCCTCTTCCTTCTTGGGTGAAAAGAAAGGCGGCAGGACCAGCTCCCACTCCCCTCTGCTGTGGGGTCAGCTGATTCTCTCTCCCACTGCCAGAGTAGAGGGATCAGCTCACTCTCAAAATAGGCCCAGCAGCTGTGCTCTGCTGCCCCTGGCCAAGCCCTGGCCTGGCAAGTCCACTGGCTGCTGGAGGGGCCCTAATTATAGCTGTGGGCTCCCCAGGGTAGAGGCCGCTGGGCCAGGGCTCTGCCAGTCTCTGGGAGGAGGGAGGGAGAGCCACACTTCGGTGGAGATTCCCTGGAGGAGTGAGGGGCTGCTGTGGAGGGAGGCTGCTTTATCCTGAGACTGCTGACCTTCGGGGTGGCTGCCCTGCCTCTGTGCCCATCTGGCGTAGAAGCTGCTGGGCCCCGGGCCTGTCAGGAGGGTGTGTGACTGTGGACCTTGGCCCAGGGACAGCTTCCCCGAAAGGTAACATGGGTCCTCCCTCTCCTTCCACAGCTCTTCTCCCCTCCCTAGCTCACCCCACCCCAGTTCCTTATCCTGAACTTGGAGGGTGTGGCAGGGTGTGGTTCAGGCTGAGCAGCCACAGAGAACATCTGGGCCTGGGTAGTGGCGAGTGCTCATGAGTCTCAATTGTCATGGCCCTGCCAATTTACTTTCTCACTGCCTGGGAAATTGGAGGAGCCCCTTCTCCTTATGCCTTTGGCTTTGCAGATATTCTGGGGCGAGAACAAACCGTGTGTGCCCCTGGGGCTAGCAGGAGAAGGGGAGGTGAGAGGACAGGTGGTGGGGCTTCCAGGAGATGAACTGAGGGCAGAGAATGTGGTGCTGTTTCCGGGTTGCTGTCAGCAGGGAAAGTAGGGGAGGGATGGCTGTGGTCAGACTGTAAAGGGGGACAAAAGGCAGCTTCTTGGTGACCCTCTGCAGAAACCCTAAGTCAGGAAAAGGAGCAGAGTTGCAGTATGGGACATGTAGTCGCCTGTACTCCGAGATGGCTCTGGCAAAGTTAGCTCTGTCCAGTTGTCGTGGGCAGCCTTGCAATCAGCGCTGTTTGCCTCATTCTTTGGAGGGCCTCACACAGAGACCAGGCTGTGCTGCCGGGTGAATCCATGGAGGCTTTGCTGCAGCCTGGGACCCATCCTGGTCCTGCAGGATGGTGTCCCTGGGACGCACGTCCAACACCCTGCAAGCAAGGCCAGAGTTTCAGCCTCCTCTTCACCTCCTGGGCCACCTGTCCCTTGCAGTTCCAGGGGTAGCACCTCTAACTTGGTTTCCTGTCCTTCTAGGATCTGCTTCCCCGTGCAGGTGAACCGGCTGCCTCGGGAGACCCTGCTGTGCGCCACCCTCTACGCTCTGCCCATCCCCCCACCCGGGAGCTCCTCAGACACCAATAAGCAACGGCGGGCACCCGAAGCCCTGGGCTGGGTCACCACCCCACTCTTCAACTTCAGGCAGTATGTGGGCTCCAGGGCAGTGGCTTCTCAGCTGTGGAAGTGGTGGGGACAGAGACAGGGGCCAAGCTGCCGCACTGGCCAGAGCCCCTCAAGAGGGTTGGTCAAGGGGTTGCTCACCAGCAGAGAGCAGCAGGTCCCAGCCCTGGCAGAGGGGGCCAAAGCACAGAACTAGTGACTGGGACTATTGGTGTAACCAGGAGCTGCTGGGCAGGACGGGTGGCCCAGGACTGTTGTGGGGGGAAGGGACGTGGAAAAGCAATACTCGGATAACATGCCATCTGGTCTTGTCATTGGAAGGACCTTAGAGGTCACCTAGTCCAGCCTCTGTACCTCGTGTAGGCATCCCCGCTACCAGGTCACCCAGACTAGGGTGCAGTTAGCTCAGGGACACTTGCTGGAGGGCGAGAGCTCGAGTAGCAGGACTTGGCAGAGGGAAAAGGCCATGGTCTGTGGGGAGAATGAGAGAGATGAGTGTTAGGTGGTGGCTTCAAACAGAAAAGGCAGATTTTTGGATTAGGGGAGCAGGAGGAAAAATATCTGCTCAACAGATTTCTTTTGTTGGCACATCCTACCCTCCATCCTCCTTAGAGTGCTGACCTGTGGCCGGAAGCTTCTGGGCTTGTGGCCAGCAACCCAGGAACACCCCAGTACCCGATGGAGTGCACCCAATTTTCACCAGCCAGACAGCGTCATCCTGCAGGTGAGACCTCAGCCTCAGTTCTTTCTTCCCACCCACCCAGCAGAACCACTCAGGAAGGAGTAAGTGCCATGTTCTCCCCCTGAAGATTTGGGCTGGGATACTAGAATGGGCTGGAAATTTGGGCATGAGTGACTATGTTTAGACCTGGAGTGGAAGGGTGAGCTCTGTAGTATCTTCTTCCCATCTCGTAGAGGTCAACTTTGATTTCAAGGAACCCGAAGGTAGGGTCTGAGACTCTCCCCATGCAGGGCTCCGCCAGCTTTCCAGAGACACTTGTGTTGAGCCATCTTACTGCTGAATCTGATCAAAGCTAAGCTGTCCCCTCTTGAGGCTCAAGGGGCAGCCCTCCCCCAGCTAGTCACTCAGTGCATTAGTGGGGTGGACCCATTCACCAGGGAGAGGAGGAGGAGCTGGTTAGGTCCAAGGTCTAGTTACCAGCTCCCAACTCCTCTTTCTTGTGGCCATGAGATGCTTTGTTATGGAATCTAGAGTATCAAAGCTGATAAAGAATGAAATAGAATATATAGAATGACAGCTCTATGAAGCAGGTGTTTTGTCTGTCTTACTCTATCCTCTGGGCCTAGAACAATGCCCGGCACATATTAAGGCTCAATACACATTTGTTTGAATGAAGGAACATAGAACTGTTTTTGAGAACTGGCTCACTCAACTCTGATACCTGTTTTAGGGGAATGAACATCTGGAGGCCTTACGTGAGTGGGGGCCTTAGAGGTGGGGGGCCCTCACCTGGCATGTTGTCCCACCTGCCAGCAGGCAGGAATGCCCCCCAGGACCACACTGAAGGCTCCCCAGCCTCAGCTGGGCACTCCCAGAGGCTCAGCCCAGTGGCTTTTCTGTTCAGAGTTCTGAGACGGGGCTTGTCCCCTCACCAAGAGGCAGCTCAGCCTGGCCTGTTCCTCCCTTGGCTGCTGTTGTTTTTTTAATATATTTTTAAAAATGTGGTAAAATTCATATAACATAAGATTTGCTATTTTAACCACTTTTAAATGTACAGTTTGGTGACATTAATTACATTCCCAGTGTTGTACAACCATCACCACTATATTTCCAAAACATTTTTATCACCACAAACAGAAACTATGTACCCATTAATAACTTCCCATTGTCCCATCGCCCCAGCCCCAGTAACCTCTAATCTACTTTTGTGTTTTGATGCGTTTGTCTATTCTAGAGATTTCATATAAGTGAAATCATAACAATATTTGTCCTTTTGTGTCTGGCTTATTTCACTCAGCGTAATGTTTTCAGGGTTCATCTATGTCATAGCATGTATCAGAACTTCATTTCCCTTTATGATTGGATAAATTCCATTGTATGTATGTACCACTTTTGCTTATCCATTCATCCACTGATGGATGGTTATTCCGCCTTTTGGCTCTGGTGAATAGTGCTGCAGTGCACATGGGTGTACACGTGTCTGTCTGAGTCCCTGCTTTCAAGTCTTTTGGGCATATATTTGGGAGTGGAATTGCTGGGTTTGCTTGCCCATTTTCTCTCGCTCTCTTTTTTTCCTGGAGTGGAAGGGTGAGCTCTTGCTGAAAGTTACGGCGGGAAGAGACTTTAGAGATCACGAAGTCCAACTGTGTTATTTTGTAGACAAAGAATCTGAGGAAAGGGAGGGAGGGAGAAGGCAGGAATGCTGGGGTGAGAGAGAGGCTAGAGACCCCAAATGGATGGCTGTCCCCACTCACGCTGGCTGTTCTCATTTCTCCACCTCTTTGATCCCCTCCACCAGATTGACTTCCCCACCTCGGCCTTTGACATCAAGTTCACCAGCCCCCCTGGAGACAAGTTCAGCCCCCGATATGAATTCGGCAGCCTCCGGGAGGAAGACCAAGGCAAGCTTAAAGACATCATGCAGAAGGAGTCCCTGTACTGGTGAGGCCCAGGGCATCCCCCACACATGGCTCAGGTCCCCCACCAATCTATCACTTTCTGATCGACATTATCTCACCTCCCAGCACCAAGTCCCTGCCCTCCTGCTTTGGGAGTGGAAGTAGGGTAGGGTGGGCATTCCTACCTAGGCAGGAAGTGGTGGAGAGGGCTCTGCAGAGGCCAGCCCCCATGCCTGTTTCCATGAGCTGACACTAGGAAAAATGGAGTGGAAATTAGATCTGGGAGTGCCCATCCCCACACTGAACACTTGGTCCAGATTCTGTCCCGAGAGGAGCGGAGTTTTGCCCTCCGCCCCAGATACACTGTTACTTGCCATCCACTGGGGCAGCTGGCTGCTGTCCTCAGCACCCTGCCCCCACCTCCTGCCCCCACCTTCTGCCCCTTCCACACCCACAGCCTTTGCATTGGTCTGGCCCTGTCACTTTCCAAAAAGGATCAGGTGTCAAAGCAAGCTGGCAGCTCTCAGCGGTAAGCGCATCTAGGCTGATCTCATCCTCCGGCTTCTCCTACCAGGAGTGGAGAAGGCTGGGTGGGAACAGAGAACTGGAGGAGCTTTTGGGATCTGGGCTCCAGGCGCCTCCCATGCCTCCTCTCTCTGCATGCCTCTCTGCCTCATGCGTGGCCCTGTGCATGTGTTGGGTGGGGAGGAGACATGAGAGAGAAGGGACTCATCTCTCTCACTCATGTCCCACCAAGGGCAGCCAGAGCAGCTGCAGACCTCCCCTGCCCCCACTCCTCCACTGACCCCTCACTGCATTAGCCCCTCAGCCTCCTCCTCCCATTAGACACCGGATCTCCAGTAAGGCCAATTAGCTGCAGGTCCTATTAAACTGCCAGCTGGTCCCAGGAGGCCCCAGGAGGCCTCTCAGCTGCCCAGACCCTGACATGTGGGAACCACTGCCCTCTGGTGGCTCGGCTTGGGAGTAGTGCCCTGGGACATCCTCAGGAGAGGCAGCAAATTTGGTGCCCTTGGCTTGTGCGTTGTGCCTTAGCCGGAGATGCTCCTGAGTTGGGATCAGTGGTGAGATTTGGGCCCTGATCCCCAAACTTGGCTGCACATTGGAATCACCTGAGGATCTTTTAAAACTACTGATACCTGGCTGCCATCCCCAGATATTCTGATTTAACACTTACTGGGGGTGACCTGGATGTGGGGATTTTTTTTTTCTTTTTTAAATTATATTGTGGGGAAAATATACATAAAAAAACATACACCGTCTCAACAATTTCTACATGTGCAAGTCAGTAATACTGAGTATGTTCTTCCAGTTGTGCAACCATTCTCGCTATCTTTTTCCAAATCATCCCACCACCATTAATGTAATTTCAGTGTTCCCTGAGCAATAACTTCCCCTTACCCCTCCCACCCGCCCTCGGGGACCACTAAGAGTCCTTGGTTTCTATATATTTGCTTATTTCATATAAGTGATATCACACAGTATTTGTCCTTTTGCAACTAATTTCGCTCAGCATGTTTTCAGGGTTCACCCATGTACCAGGACTTCATTTCTGTTTTTAGCTGAGTTCCACTGTGTTGCTGGATAGACCACATTTTGTTTATCCGTTCATCTGGTGATGGACATTTCGGTTGTTTCCACCTTTTGGCTATTGTGAACAGTGCTGCAATGAACATTGGTGTACCAGCTTGTTTGCATTCCTGCCTTCACTTCTTCTGGGTATATACCTAGGACTGGGGTTGCTGGGTCATATGGTAGTTCTATGTTCAGCTTTTTGACGAACTGCCACACTGTTTACCATTTTACATTCTAGGCATGGGGATTTTAGAAAGCTCCCCAAGTAATGCTAACGTGCAGCAAAGTTGGGGAACCACTACATTGGGGTGTGTGTAGCATTCCCTTGGAGTAATACTCTGCGCTCAGGTGGACTCTGCTCTCTCCCATCCCCACCCCACAGGCTCACTGATGCTGACAAGAAGCGTCTGTGGGAAAAGCGCTATTACTGCCATTTGGAGGTGAGCTCGCTCTCCCTGCTGCTCGCCAGCGCCCCCAGCTGGGAGTGGGCGTGCCTTCCTGACATCTATGCGCTTTTGAAGCAGTGGACCCACATGAACCACCAGGATGCCCTGGGGCTCCTGCATGCCATGTGAGTGTGACACCCACCTTTCCCAACCACTTGCCCTTCCAGAAGCCAGTGCTTGGCACTGCCCATCACTGAGCTGAGCTGGTGCCGGGGAAAAGGGTGATGTGCGCCTGGGTCTCCAGGGCTTTTCCACATCTCCTTTTTTACTTTGTCTCAATTTTCCCCCCAACATTACATTACAAACATTTTTCAAATACAACAAAATTGAAAGAATTTTACAGAATTTATACTCACCGCCTTGGCTTCATTGCATATCTGCTCATCCCTCTCTCCATCCATTGGTCCATTTGATTTATTTATTTATTTTATACATTTGGAAGTAAATTGGCAGACATCGTTAAATTCCCTCCTAAATATTTTAGCATGCATAATATCATTCACCATAGCTCAGTGTTTATGGTTTTTTCCTTTTGAGGTAAAATTTATAGACAAGAAAACGCCCAAACCTTGAGTGTACATTTGCTGAGTTTTGACAAATGCATACACCTGTGTAACCCAAGCCCTGTCAGTTAGTTCCCATCTTAACAGTCTGCTCTTTCCCTCCTTCCCCTGAAGGGCTCTCTGGGGACACAAGGCTCCCAGTCTCAGACCCTTGCCACCTAGTGTCCCTGGCTTATTTCTCCCTACTCTTGGTTACCAAAATCTACCCCATCCATGTGTCCTACCTTCCGGACTTTTTGAGGCAGTGGTCCCGCTAATCTCTGCTAAAGTAATCAAGCCAAGGTGTATTGGCTTATGTAAATTCCACTATTAAACTGTTATTTGACTGGCAGGCTTTGCATTTAAGGATGGTACTGAGACTCAATAATGCTGTAACCCACATGAAGGTTCTTTGACGATGGGAATTTCCGGCACAGTGGGACTCAAGGAAAAGAACTAAGGGAGTACGGTTGGGGCTGAGGACTTTACCCCATTTTCTCTAAATCACACAAGGAATGAGAGTGGCCACCCACCTGTGCCTCTACAGGCTGAGGTAGACTCTGACCATGGGGTGGGATCATTCCGGAGAAGGTGCTAAGGACTCTTCTAGCAGCTTTGGCAGACTCCGGGGAACCTTGCCTTTCCTCCGTCTGTGCCTTTCCACCCTCTGAAGCCCAGGTGGCCAGGGCACTTGGCTCAGAAGCCGGTGCCTCAGAGCCTGCAGCTGGGTGTCAGGCCTGGGCTCTGTTTTGCAGCTTCCCGGACCAAGAGGTGCGACGTATGGCTGTCCAGTGGATCAGCTCGCTCTCAGATGCCGAGCTGCTGGACTACTTGCCCCAGCTGGTGCAGGTGGGTAGACTGGCCTGCCGTCCAGTTCTGATGGTCCAACCCCAAGACCCCAAGTCAGGCTGCACTCTGCCCCTGAGAACCTGGGGTCCCCAGCGGGCTAGTAGTAGGTGTAGGTTGGGGGCAGTTAACAAAGCCTCATGTTCGCCTCCTCCCTTTCCCCTACACAGGCCCTCAAGTATGAGTGCTACCTGGACAGCCCCTTGGTGCGCTTCCTCCTGAAGCGAGCCGTCTCTGACTTGAGAGTGACGCACTACTTCTTCTGGTAAAGCTGCGTGTGGAAAGGTGGGAGGTAGATGTGTGGGCTTCACGTGGGAGTGTTTCGCTCCACGGCCTGCAAGGGTGAGGGCTGAGTCGTTGGGGCTCCAGAATGCTGCTGACTTACTCTCTTGCCTTGAGCTGGATCTTTGCCTCAGGAGGTCTCAGTTCACCCCAGTGCGGCACAGTGAGGATCATCCCTGCCCCTCCCCTTCACCCACCCCAGGCAAAAATATAAAGGGGAAGCTAGGCACAGAGGTGCCTTGAGCCCCTTCTCCTTAAAGACAGAGTGGCCATGGACTTGGATGTGGGCACAGATGAACACGTCTGTACATGCATGTTGTTGTTGCTGGGTGCCGTGGAGTCAGTTTCAACTCATTGTGACCCTATGTGACAGAGTAGAACTGTCCCATAGGGTTTTCTTGGCTGTAATCTTTACGGGAGCAGATCACCAGGTCTTTCTCCCACAGAGCCACTGGGTGGGTTCGAACTGCCACCCTTTCAGTTAGCAGCTAAGCACTTAATATATTTTCCTTCCCAAATTTGGGGTGGGTTTTGGACCTGGGTTTGGTCCTCCCGCCAACCCTTGCCTATGATCCCTAGAGGGTCCCGACTCCCCACTCCCCTCTGCCTTGTAGGTTGCTGAAGGACGGCCTCAAGGACTCCCAGTTCAGCATCCGCTACCAGTATCTGCTGGCGGCCCTGTTGTGCTGCTGTGGCAAGGGGCTGAGAGAGGAGTTTAACCGCCAGTGCTGGCTCGTCAACACCCTGGCCAAGCTGGCCCAGCAGGTCCGGGAGGCCACCCCGTCTACACGGCAGGTGAGTGGGGTAAAGCTACCTCTGCCCATTTCCAACCCCGAGCTTCTGCAGCCTCTCAGGGCTGGAAGGAAGTAGCTCTTTCTCTAAACTACGAGCCACAAACTGACAGCCTGCACCCTGGATACAGCCTGTGAGTGTATTTCGTTTGGCTAGTAAAGTATTAAAGTTTTTATTTAACTGTTTGCTGTAAAGGCTGAGCACAGTTGTATAAGTTGTTCACTGCACAAGAGTCCCCAGCCAGAGTGGGGCAAGTGAGGGCTGAAATCCAGCCATACTTTGTTCTCTAGACTGTGAGCCACGGCTCAGGACTGCAGCCACCCAAAGACAGCACCTTTATCTATTTGCACAGAGGTGGTTTCTTGGGCCAGCAGTGTTCCCGGTTGCCAACATTTAAAAATTGTGAGATTCCATAATAAAGTTTAGCTTGTTGGCTTCCCTGGCAACAGCCTGAGTAGCAGCTCCCCTTGAGATGTAGCCTGCCTGAGTTCATGGCAGCCTGCTTCATGCTGTTCTGTCACCTGTGGGACCTCAAAAGGTCCTTGGGCCTGCTTCCCCTGCACTGTCCCAGGCTGGGGCATGAGTCGGGTAGTTTTCCTTCTTAAGGGCCTCTGGAAGTTAGCCCACCTCCTCAGGTGGTGGTCTTCCTGCCAGCCACCACCAGGCATCTGCTCCTGGGGGAGGCCTGGTTGTGAGCGGAGCTGATGGCCCCTCACCTCAGCCCCGCTCCCCGTCTCCCCCCACCAGGGGATCCTCCGCACGGGCCTGGAGGAGGTGAAGCAGTTCTTTGCTCTCAACGGTTCATGCCGTCTGCCGCTCAGCCCCAGTCTGCTGGTCAGGGGCGTCGTGCCCAGGGTGAGTGACCGGTGGGCCTGTGGCTCTCAGAGTGCAGAGGGGTCTGCAGAGCGTGGTCGTCCCTGACCCGCCTAGTTATTGAGAGGTACGAGGAAGAAAGGCGTGTTCGTGGCCTTCTCCTACCCCTGGATGCGTGGACTTTGCCCAACAGCTGTGTGGGGTGGAGGACTTGGATTGGAGATGCAGTCAGGGATGGTGATGGTGATGGCAGCTGTCATCTCTCATTTATGGAGCACTGTCTCTGTGTCTGGCACAGTCTCAGTGCTTTATCCCCGCAGCTCCATGTAGTCGGTATCATTGTGAGGCCATTTCACCAAGCAATAAACTGAAGCCTAGGGAGGGTGTGTGACACACATAAGTCACCAACATTAAGTTGTGTGCAGAATGCCCTGGAGGGATGAGAGATCAGGGGCCGGGGTTGAGGTCGTAACAAACTGAACCCGGATGTCGGGTGCCTGAGAAACCTGGAGGAAGCAGTGAGCAGGTCTTGGCTGACCAGCAGCAGGAAGGCAGGTGGCATCTGGTCCAAGGTGGGGAGAGGTCGTTTTCCCCCCCTCACCCTCATCGCTGCCCTCTTTGCCATGGCAGGACTGTTGCTACTTCAACTCCAATGCCGTCCCCCTCAAGCTCTCCTTCCAGAACATGGACCCGCTGGGTGAGAACATACGTGTCATCTTCAAGGTGAGAGTCCTTCGCTCAGGACAGGGGGACCAAGGTGGGCGAGAAAAGGGTAGGAAGGAGCATGGGGGGTGGCAGGAGCAGCCCTGGGCTGTTCTCTTCCCACTATTCCATGCTGCCTCTCTGGTCTGTGAAAGACTATCAGGTGAAAAAGGAAATAGTCTAATTCTGAGCGGCCCTGAGGGCTAGGGACAGTAACTGACAGCCCAGTCTGTGGAAGCCCTTTCTAGGAGGTGGAGCTGTCCAACAGTGGAATAGGTAAGATGGTGATCTGCTTGTTCCTGGGAGTATTCAAGCAGAGGCTGAATGACCATGTGGCAGGGATGTTAAAGAGGAAATTAATACATCAGGTATAGGTTGGTCTTGATAAACCGTAAGCTCCCTTCTGACTCCAGTATATCCACAATTCTGAGAAGTAAGTGATAGTCTCAGAGCATATAATCTGGTGGAGAAGACAAAATGATTTAGTAACTTAAACTATGTATTTGCTGTGTGTAAGTTCCAAATCCGGGGGGACGGGGTGGGAGTGGGGGAGCTGATCGTCAGGGAGGGCTGCATGAGGAAGAGGATCTGTTAAAAAAAATCTGCTGCTGTTGAGTCGATTCTGACTCTAAGTGTGACCCTATTGGGTGGGACAGAACCGCCCTATAGGGTTTCCAAGGCTGTAGTCTTTATGGAAGCTGACTGCCACATCTTTCTCCTGTGGAGCAGCTGGTGGGTTTGAACTGCTGACCTCTTGGTTAGCAGCTGAGTGAATCCAATTCAGGTGGGAGGGTAGAGTGGAGGGGAGGGTGGGACACCTCCTGGGCACAGTGTGAAGGCTGTTGAACCATTGTTGCTCCTTTGAGCCTGTGTGAGCTGAGTGAGCAGCTCAGAGGTGTGAGGTGGGAAGACAGGGTTGTCCCTCCTTGTCACTGTCATTTGGGCCCAGCGGGCCCACCTGGGAGCTGGGGGGGCGGGGAGGTGGTGGAGACAGGCTCTGGCGCATACAGCTCTGAGGCCTCACTCTTCCTCCATCCAGTGTGGGGATGACCTTCGCCAAGACATGCTAACCCTGCAGATGATTCGCATCATGAGCAAGATCTGGGTCCAGGAGGGGCTGGACATGCGCATGGTTATATTCCGCTGCTTCTCCACCGGCCGGGGCAGAGGTCAGCTGGGAGAAGGGGGGTGAAGAGGTGGGTGGTAGGGAGGGCGCCCCTTTGCTTACTGCCCTCTGCCTGTTCCCCAAGATGAACTCTAAATGTCTCTGGGAAGATGAAAAGGAGATTGTTTCATTAATGGCTGTGAAATGGCAGAAAAAAAAAAGGAAGGGAGAGATTTAGAAGATAAAACAGACTTGGAGACATGAAAGCCAAACGTATTATATAGGCTTTGCTTGGCTCCTGATTCAAACTAACTTTAAAAAGGCGTTTTTGAGACAACTGGGGACATTTGAATGTGGATTGGGTATTAGATCATTTTCAGGAATGCGTGCGAACTTTTTCGATATGACGATGACATGGTGGTATGTCCGTGTTACTTATATACTTAAAGTATTTATGAGTGAAATAACATGTCTGGAATTTGCTTTAAAATACTCCAGCCAGGAGAAGGGGAAAAAAAAAAAAAAAAAAAGCAGGGTTGGGCGAATGAACTAGATGAAACAAAATTAGCAAACTGTTGATAACTTTGGAAGGTGGGTAATGCTACATGTGAATTCATGATACAGTTTTCTCTGTTCTTACATATATTTGAAATTTTCCATTATAAAATTTGAGAATATAAAAGGAGCAGTAGTTATGAACTGGGAAACCAGCAAGCCACAGGATGGAATATGAGACTTGGGAATGCCCTTCCTTTCCACCGTTATCCTTTCCCCCGTTTCGTGCCCCTATTATCAGGCTTAGTCCACCTGCCCTCCAGCTTGATTCATAGCGGAGCTTCCTGCAGAGCCTCGCAGTCCACTCCCCACGGTCCCCTTCACTCTGCTCTGGAGGGTGATCCTGATTCCTCCTCTCTCAGGGATGGTAGAGATGATCCCCAACGCCGAGACCCTGCGCAAGATCCAGGTGGAGCACGGGGTGACGGGCTCCTTCAAGGACCGGCCCCTGGCCGACTGGCTGCAGAAGCACAACCCTGGGGACGAGTATGAGAAGGTAGGCCCGGGGGCTGGGGTACGCGTGCCTGACTGGCGCTTGGCTGTCGACGTGCTTTCCTGGTTGCTGTAACATATACCACAAGTGGGTGGACTTTAAAAACAGAAATTGATTTTCTCCTGGTTAGGAGGCTAGAAGTCCATGCTCAGGGTACGGGATGTAGGGGAGAGCTCTCTCTGTAGGCTCTCGGGGAAGGTCCTCGTGGCCTTCAGCCTCTGTGGCCCCAGAATTCCTCAGTTTCTTGACAGTCTTCACATTGCATCTGTGTTTGTTTTTGCTTCCTTCTGTGTCTAACCTGCTCTTTTTACATCTCAAAAGTGATTAGGGTCAGGACGCACCCTGCATTGATATGGCCTCATTAACAAAAAATTGAGTTTCCCTGGCAGATCCAGTTTTGTTGTTAACTTTGTTTTTGTTGAGGATTTGTGGCTTAGGACACCTCATGTGTTACAGAGTTGAACTGCTCCATAGGGTTTTCTTGGCTGTGGTCTTTACAGAAGCAGATCCATAGGCCCGTTTCTTCCTCCGTGATGCTGCGTGAGTTCCAACTGGGCCAACCTTTTGGTTACCAGCCGAGTTTGTGCCACCCAGGGACCTTCCTGGTAGAGAGAGTTTTGAAGGAGGGGGGCCAGCTTTTCAGAACCCTCCTAGTCATGCATCCATTCAATTCCTGCTGGGCTCTCAGAGGCTCAGTGGTACGTATAGAATAAGAGTTTGTTGGGAGAGACGTTGGAGGTCATTTTAGTCCAATCCCTCTTTTCGTAGATGTGAACTAAGATTCACTTAGTTGCTCCTCATGGAGCTGGTTTGTGGCCAGGCTGTAACTCGAAGCTAGGACTGGGGTTCAGTATGAGACAGAGATGATAGAAAGGAGGCTGGCTTGTTCCTCAGGTGGGACTTTACTAGGTGATAGGACTTTGTGGCCTGCTATTGTCCAGGGCTGGTCCACAGCTTCACGGGGCTAGTCCCTGGGATAATTAGATGTAGGGGAGGAGGGAACAAATCACAGTAACCAAACCTATAAGAGAATGACTATAAGCCAGAATGCTGATTTATATAAATTTAACTTCCAAGGGGATCCAAATACTAATTTTATATTAATCAATGCATTTTATCCCTGAGGAAAAACCTACATGGGAAGCCAAATTATAATCAGAATGTTGTTTAGTGAACATGTAATTAAACAAACCAAACCCATTATTGTCGAGTCAGTTCTGACTCCTAGTGATCCTATAGGACAGGGTAGAACTGCCCCATAGGGTTTCCAAGGAGCAGCCAGTGGATTTCAACTGCCAACCTTTTGCTTAGCAGCTGAGCTTTTAACCACTGCACCACCAGGGCTCCGGACATGTAATTAGATGACCTTAAATGGTCTTAAATGTTTGCATTCCCCAGGGTTTAATTCCTAGCCTGCTGTGCGCTCTTTGCATTCTTCTTGTGTCAGCTCATCCTCTCTCATTACTGTAACAACCATCTGTAGGCTGATGACTTCCAAAGCTATTCCTCTAGCTCTCTTCCCTCCTTTCAGCTTTATACTCTTAGCCACCTGCTTGTCGCACTTGTCCACTCGTGTTTCACCAATGCCTCCAACTCAGTATGGGCAAAACCAAATTTTCTGTCTCTCCTTCGCCTCTTGAAACCTGCTTTTTGTGTGTTTCCTATCATTAAATGGCATGATGCTCTCCATTCAGTCACCCAAACCATAGACACGTGAGTTTTCATGATGCTTTCTCCTGCCTCACCCCCTGCCGAGTCATGCCCGGTTGATTCTTCTTCCCTAATATCACCCAACTCTGACCTCTTCCTTCTATTTCCTTACCGACGCTTTAGTTCAGCTATTCGCTGTCTACTGTACCACTGGAATGACCTCTCCTCCTTCCACTGCATCCTCTGCTTGGTTTCCTGAGTTGTTTTTTTTTTATAAAGTGCAAACCTGCCCATGTCACTCCTTTGCTCTAAGTTCTTCAGTAGCTCCCTATGTCCTAAAGATAAGTCCAGCCTCCTTAGCATTGCATGCACAGCCTTTTATAATCCAGCCTTGTCTACCCCTGCAGTCTTATCCACTGCGCTTTCCCATCTTATGCTGACTTGTGCTCTGGCTCGGAGGGTTGCTTGCATTTCCCTCGATGCTCCTAGACAATGGTATTCCCTTTGCCTGGAACGCCATTTCTCCCTTCCCCATCCCTTGAAACCTACCCCCTTCTTTAATACCCCAGGGCAGAGTTAGTGTCTCTGTGTGTGTTCTTATTACTTACATCCATCACATTTATTATGACGCTTGTTACGTTGGTAGGAAGTAATCATAATTCTAATACCTAGCACAGTGCTGCTGCATGATGGTTGTTTAATGCCTGAAAAATATATGGAAGATAAATAATACATGGAGGCGACGGGGAAGAATTGCTATTACTTCTCTCCAAGAGTAGAGGGGCTTTTTGTGGAGGTGGGTTATATTGGCATACTCAGGCATAAAGAAAACCACCCCCCAACAATCTCATCGGGGAAAACACACATAGTATAATAGAAAGAGTTGAGTTAAGATTGTCACATTACCTGCCTGCTGTAATTTTTGGGCAAATCAGTTAACTTCTTTGAGTCTCAGTTCCCTCATCTATAAGGTGAGGGGACTGAACAATTGCTAAGGCCCTGCCAACTCTTAACAGTCTACAGATGTTTAATGGTGGTCTCGGAAAGATAGCTTCTTCCACTGGCAAAATGCTGCTAGTTCCCTGTGGTGACTTCCAGGAGAAAAGAACTAGAGACGTTTTTCTCTTGTCCAGCTACTCATCAGAGAGGTTCTCCTGCATCCTGCAAGTGAAGCCCCTAAATCAGGAGAGCGTCCCTTTATATGATGAGACTTCTTGTCAGTAGGAAGCTAACACCTGGCATAATTTAGTGAGGTGATAAGCACCGAGTCATTTTCCCACAGGCATACAGCTATTTTAGGAGCCAAGATAGGATGGATTTAAGGAAGAAGGAATATCTGAGAAAGGAAAACAATCTGATGGAGGTGAGGTCAGGAATGGGAGTTGGTGGGCTATATTACTTGATGAGCAGTTTCTTTTCATTCATATATGTATTGCCCTTTCATAGAAATCATCTTTGTCTTCCAGAAGGTGAATTCCGTGATATCTTTATAGACTTTCCATTCTTAGTTTCCTGTGGATTGATCATCCAGTTGTAATATGACAAGCAGCAGGGTGGGGGTGGAGGAGGGCTCCTGTGTGCGGCTGGTTTTATAGGTCTTCTGGAGCAGCCAGGAAGCCTGCAGAGGGGCTTATAATCACTTGGGATATAAGACCCCTAAACCATGGGGGATGGGTATAGGTGATAGTTCAGTGGTAGAATTCTCACCCTCCATGCAGGAGACCCAGGTTTGATTCCCAGCCAATACACCTCATGCACAGCCACCACCCATCTGTCAGTGGAGGCTTGCGTGTTGCTATGATGCTGAACAGGTTTCAGCAGAGCTTCCAGACAAAGACAGACTAGGAAGAAAGGCCCGGCAGTGTACTTCCAGAAATCAGCCAGTGAAAGCCCTGTGGATCACAGTGAACTGATCTTCAACTCATCATGAGGATGGTGCAGGACCTGGCAGCATTTTGATCCATTGTGCATGGGGTCACCAAGAGTTGGGATCCACCTCCATGGTGACAAACAAACCCTAGGGGAGTGTAGACTAAGCACTGAGTAGATGGTGGTGGCAGTGGATTTGTAGGGGCTCAGAGAAGGAGCAGAAGTCAGTTTGAGCTGGAAGGGGCTGGGAACAGCGTGGAATTCAAGGAGGGTGCTTGAAGGACGGATGGAAATTTGTGGAGAGAAAGAGGGCAGGTGTTCTACATCTGGGAAGCTTTCTCTCATTCCCAATTTTTTACATTCCTTGTTGGCTGTGGCAGCTATTGCCCTCTGCTATGAGACTTTCTCGAGTTCCTGAGAATTCTAAAAACCTCACAAAGTGCATTGTAGTGCTGATTCCATGTATTTTTACTTCCTGGACAGATGTTAACCAGACTAGATAAGGGGGATCCCTCTCCCCCTACGTTAAACTCAAAAATATCTCTAACACATTTTACCAACTAGAGTTGTCTGATTTTCAAGTGTAAAACACTCCCCAGAAGTGTTAAGCTGCCTCAGCCCTTCTTCGGAGTGAAGTGACTTTAATTAGCAGTTAGCTGTTATCAAGAACTCTGGGAATGGGAGTTTTATCTGGGGCAAGGGGAAGGGTGGGAGAATTCTGCGCAGGGTCAGTAAATGTTTGTTGAAAGAATTAGTAAATGAGCCATGCCTACTTCTCAGGGTAGTTGTGATGAAAAGTGATATCAATGAATGCACTTTAAAAAAAAAAAAATTTTGTGTTTTCACTGAAAGTTTACACAGCAAGTTAAGTTCCCATTTAACAATTTATACACAGTTTGTTCAGTGACATTGGTTACATTTTACACAGTGTGCAACTTTCTCATTATTTCTATTCTAGTTGTTCCATTTCCAGAAATCTAATCTTCCTGCCCCCTTGCTTCCTTGTCTTTGCTTTAGAGTAAATGTTGACTGTTTGGTCTCACATAGATGATTTTTTAAACCAGCACAGTACTTATGGGTGATATTGTTTATTTTACGAGCCAGTTTGTTAGTTAGCTAAAAGATAACCTCATGCAGTAGTTTTGTTCAAGGTTTAAAGAGTATCTCAGGGCGATAGTCTTGGTGGGTTCTCCACTCTCAACTGGTCCAGTAAGTCTGGACATTTAAAGAATTTGAGTCCTGTTCCACATTTTGTTCCCATTTTATCAGGATCCATTTACTGTGTTCCTGATCAGAATGGATGGTAGTGGTAGTAAGGCACCATATTTCTTCTGGTCTCAGGGTAGATGAGGTTGTGATTCATGTAGACTGTTAGTCCTGTGGACTGGTTTCTTCTGAGTCTTTGGTTTCTTTCAATCTTTTTTACTACAGATGCATAGAGACCAATAGTTGTATCTTAGATGGCAGCTTGCAAGCTTTTAAGACCCTAGCTGCTACTAATCCAGCTAGGATGTAGAATGTAAATTTTACATACTATATTATGCCAACTGACTGAGTTGTCCCATGAGACTATGGTCCTAAGCCTTCAGAGCCTGTAAACCAATCCCATGAGGTGTTTAATAAGTACCCATGTTTGTGCTCCCTGTGTGCTTTATCGTATATATGAATATATATGGATGCATATACTTACGGATATATACACTTTCATGTAGGTGTATCTAGATATCTCACCTATATACACACATATACACACCTACGCTCTTGGATGCATACATACATACATGTGTCCACACTCCTGTTACTAAGTTGTTGTTGCACAGTTGTGTATGTCCTAGCATTTACCAAAAAGTCCTTTTTTCTTGTGTACTTCTTAGTGATTTCATTTACCTTGGTCAGGCTGTGCGCACTTCACCCACATTTGGTGTTATATTTCCCATCCCCCAAAACAACAAGTGTCTACTATCCAGAGAGTGAAATCCCTGCTCCCCACCTATCCCTGGTAACCACCAGTGAACACTGGTTTCAGTATATATACCTATTCTTATCTTTTTATAATAGTGAGATCATGCAATATTTGTCCTTTTGTGATTGACTTACTTCATTCAGCATAATGTCCTCCAGTTTCATCCACATTATAATATATTTTGAGAACTCATCGTTATTCTTTATGGCTACATAGTCGTCCATTGTACGTATGTACCACATTTGGTTTAGCCATTCATCCATTGACAGGCACTCAGGTTGTTTCCATCTTTTTACTATTGTGAATAATGCTGCAATGAACATAGATGTGCATATGTCTGATTGTGTCTTTAATATTCGATCTCTAAGGTATATGCCTAACAGTGGGATAGCTGGATCATAAGATAGTTCCATTTCTAGTTTTTTGAGAAATCCCATACCATTTTCCATAATGGTTGTACCATTTTACAATCCTCCCAGCAGTGGATAAGGCTTCCAGTCTCTCCACAGCCTCGCCAGCATTTGTGTTTTCTGTTTTTTTTTTTAAGTGCCGTTTTTGCAGGGGTAAGATGGTATCTCATTGTAGTTTTGATTTGCATCTCTCTAATGGCTTATAATCGCAAGCATCTTTTCATGTGTTCTGTTGGCCAATTGAGTGTCCTCTTTGGTGAAGTATCTGTTCATGTCCTTTGCCCATTTTTAAATTGGATTGTTAGTCTTTTTTCGTTGAGTTTTGAAGTTTTCTGTATATTTTATTGAGATTAGACCCTTGTCAGATATGTCGTTCCCAAAGATTTTTTCCCAGTGTGATGGTTCGCTTTTTACTCTTTTGATAGTCTTTTGATGAGCGTAAGTAGTTAATTTTTAGGAGGTTCCAGTTATCTAGTTTGACTTCTCCTGTTCATGGATTAATAGTTGTGTTTGGTAATTTATTTTATTTTTTAAATTGGGTCCCATAGTTTTGTCCCTATGTTTTCTTCCAAGAGCTTTATAGTTTTAGCTTTAACATTTAAATCTTTGGTTCATTTTGAGTTGATTTTTGTGTATGGTGTGAGGTATAGGTCCTGTTTCATTTTTCTGCACGTGGATATCCAATTTTGCCAGTACCATTTGTTAAAGAGACTGTTTCTTGCTGTTTCATCCCCATTGAATGGACTTTGACTCCTCGTCAAAAATCAGTTGCCCAGAGATGGATGCATTCATTTCTGGATTCTTGATGCTATTTCACTGGTCTATGTCCAGTGAAAGTATTTGAAACTATCAAGTCTTATACCAGCATGAGGGATTGCATCAAACATTGTCTAGGAGGAGCAGCACAAGGTTTGGAATCAAAACACAAGCCTGGGTTCAAATCCCAGCTCACAGATTGGCTGGCTGTGTGCCCTGGGCAAATTACTTAATCTCTCTGAGCTTCAGTTTCTTCATCTGTAAAATTGGGAGAGTAGATTTAGCTGACAAGAGTCAAATACCTACTGCAGTACGCTAGCACGTGTAAGTTACCATTTGTGAATGTTACTCAGGCTTAAAGAGAAATAAAGTTCTGATACATACTGCAACGTGGATGAACCTTGAAAACATTATGCCGAGTGAAATAAGTTAGTCACAAAAGGGCACTTATATGAGCTATCTAGAATAGACATGTGTATAGAGACCAAAGTTTATTAGTGGTTACTAGGGATGGGAGGGAGGGAGAAGGAAAGGAGGACTCACTGCCTAGGGGACACTGAGCTTCTGTTAAGGGTGATGGTACAATTTTGGAATGAATAAGGGTGATGGTTGAATAACATGAACATAATTAATGCCACTGAACAGTGCATGTGAAAATTGTTGAAATGCCACATTTTGCTGTGTATATATTTATCACAATACAAAAAGTTATACCATTTGTCAAATGACTACTATTATTACTTTCATCTTGCACAGTCTCGGTGCTTGAGTTAAGATCCTCAGGACCAGTTGGGAATGCTGTGCACTTCAGTCTTCCCATCTAGTACTCTCCTCAGTCTGGGCCAGTCAAGTCAGTGCCCCCAGATTAATCCACTCTTTTCAACCAGTCTCCATAGGAGAAAGGACAAAGGAGAAGAAATTCAGAAAGGGTGGTGGAGGTAGACATAATATATGCCTTCCATCTCCTTATACTGCATAAGATATGGTAGACGTTCCTACATGTGTGAGTGTGTATGTTAGTGTGTGATGAGGGCTGGACAGGCTGATGCAAGGTGCTTTTGGAGCTCACAGGAGAGGGAGGCTGAACTCAGCCTGGCTGTGCCTCCTGGAGCCCCTCCAGGTGAGCATTGTGTCCTCTCCTTCCATCTGCCTTCACTCCTCCCAGGCTGTGGAGAACTTCATCTACTCCTGCGCAGGCTGCTGCGTGGCCACTTATGTCTTGGGCATCTGTGACCGACACAATGACAACATTATGCTGAAGACCACTGGCCACATGTTCCACATAGATTTTGGCCGCTTCTTGGGCCATGCCCAGATGTTTGGCAACATCAAGCGGTAAGTGGTCTCCAGAATCCAGGATATGTGGGTACAGTGTATAGGTCAGGGAGGTCAACAGAAATGGTTCAGAGCTGGAAAACAGCCCACGATAAGTGGGCCTCTGAGCGTGGACTCTGAGCTGACCAGCTTTGGATAAGTGGCCAAGTCTTTATAGGGCCATGCAGAAGAAGATGGGGACCAACTGTTCTCCCTCCCTCCTGAGGCTGAGCAAACGAAAATGAGCCCAAACTTCAGCAAAAGAGAACATGATTAGATAGTCAGGAAAAAATATTGATTGCTCACAGACAGGGAACCAGAGAAAGATGTGGAATAGCTGTTACTGGTGGCAGTGACATCACTAGGGTTGGTGTCACCCAGTGCTGTAACTCATGATGTCACCCCCCCGTGCTAATTACCACAATATCATAGCTAAAACACCAGAAATTCTGACAAAATCAGCGACTATAGAGACAGTGGCAGCAATGAGAACAACAGCGCACGCTTGCAGCGCATGCAGACGAAACCACGTGATTTGAAGCATCATTGTAATTGGGTAATAATGACAGCTCTGACTGGAGTGCATTAGAAGGTTTAAAAAGTAAATTAGCGTAGAGTTTTAGGCTTGTGGGTATACTGATACATGTAAGCTGGGCTTACAAAAAAATTTTTTGTTGTTTTTACTAACTACAGGGATATTTTTATAAAACATAATAAATTTCTGTTGAAACAATGCACAAAAATTTTATCGACAGACATTTTGACATCACCCCCTCTGACAGTATCACCCAGTGCGGTCCACACCCCCCACACCCTCCTAGTGATGTCACTGACTTGTGATCTTTTAAGATTAAGGTAGGGGAAGGAGAAAAAAGTTAGAGAGAGCCCCATCTATCCGGGCTCATATGAGGGATGAGGGACGCCATCCCCTGATGCAGTCCACAAGGGAGCCTTCCTCCTCCATGTTGACCTTCTATCTATATGTTCCCCTTGGCCCAGGGACCGTGCCCCCTTTGTCTTCACCTCGGACATGGCGTATGTCATCAACGGGGGTGACAAACCTTCCAGCCGCTTCCATGACTTTGTTGACCTTTGCTGCCAAGCCTACAACCTCATCCGCAAGCACACCCACCTCTTCCTCAACCTTCTGGGCCTGGTGAGGAGCTCCATCCTTGGCTGAACCCCTCCTTCTTACCATCTGGCACCATCTGTAAGACTCCCCTGTCTTGCTTCAAAGGATTTCTGGAGGTCCACTTCTCTAAGCCCCAACTGAGCACCTGCCTGCCCCAGATAAAGGCAGGAACCTAGGGTACCTGGGGACAGTAGTCTCTGTGCAAGTGTCGGACTCCCTTCTCCAGCCCCCAACCCCTATGACCCTCTAGCCACTGCCCACAGGATCTGCCTCCTGCCACCCTCTAGAAGGGTCAGGGAGCTTAGCTATAGAAAATCTTGCCTTATGGTGGGGAAGAAGCAAGGATTCCTTGTTATTACAGATACTATTTCTTCTTCTTTCCTCACCTTCTAGATGTTGTCCTGTGGGATCCCTGAGCTCTCAGACCTGGAGGACCTCAAGTATGTGTATGATGCCTTGAGGCCTCAGGACACAGAGGCCAATGCCACGACCTACTTCACAAGGTAATACCCTGTACAAAACGGAGCACTGCCCACCCCGAGTAATTTCCAGGCTGCCTGACTGGTAGAACAGGACTAGGGAATGGGAAAGGCTAAGATGGCAGCCTAAAGCTGACAGCATGGCTCTGTTGTCCCACCTTTGCTTCTGGCTTAGGTAAATCACTTTGCTCCTCTCTGCCTCAGTTTCCCATGTACATTTTAGTGCTAACTTTTGTATATAGAGGCATTGCAGTCTGCCTTTTACTTCCACTCTTACCAGATCCCAGCCGAAGACTGTGTCTAAGGGACAAGGTATAATATGGACTTTGTAACAGTTTTTAGCTCTCTGGGATCAGGCCCACCACCCTTGTAAAAACATGGAAGCCCATGGTTTGATTTTTCCATATTTGACAGTTTTTAGGAACTAAAACTTTTAGTCTGAAGACGAGGGATGTTTCTGTGTATTAATGCCTGTAATTTTGTCCATGTAGATTATGTCTCCATTTTATTATGCACTCTTTTTGGAGCTTAGTGAACTAAATTTTCTCTGTTGGGTCTAACATAGAACCTCTCCTTTTGTTTGTCTTGTTTTTGTTACTTTTATGTTTTGTTTTACAAGCTGATTATGTTGTTGGTGTGTGCCATTGAGTTGATTCCAACTCATAGAACTCCCTTTTGAATTGAAATATGTATATTAATAAGTCCTTGGTGAAATTCCATTGTACTGAACAAACTTGGAATTCAGTTTAAGAACAATATTTAGACATTTACATGGTCACCACACAGTGGGTTCCCTAATTCCTTCCTACCATGGGCCGCAAGGAGAGATAAGACCCCAGGATTCACACAGGTAAATCGCATATAGATAATTGCGTGCCAGTCATGCCCTCTATGAGGATATTTCATAATGAAAAGGATTTGATCTGTGGTAGCTGCATCAAGGCACTGGGAACTTGGGTCCGTGGCTACATCCTGTTCATCCCATCCTCTTGAACCAACAGGTTGATTGAGTCCAGTCTGGGCAGTGTAGCCACAAAGCTCAATTTCTTCATCCATAACCTGGCTCAGATGAAGTTCACGGGCTCAGATGACCGGCTGACTCTTTCCTTTGCCCCCCGGACACACACCCTCAAGAGCTCGGGCCGCATCACTGATGTTTTTCTCTGCCGCCATGAGAAGGTCTTCCACCCCAGCAAGGGCTATGTGAGCGTCTTCTCCAATCCTACTCCGTCATGCTCCCTACTGACCCCAGCTTATTGGAGTTCTGACTATTCTTCACACCCCATGCAGTGGGCACTGGAGTTGTCTGAGCATCCTCCCTGGAAGTGCTCCCAGACTACTTCCCTGTCACTTGCTCAGGTGGCCTACCTAGAATCGGGGCTGAATTGGATGGTGATTCCCTCTGAACATGTACAGGAAAACTTGGCTTTCAGATTCCTGTTGTAGAAACCATTCATCTCCATTGGAGGCACTCTTGTCTTCTTCCCTAGAAAATGAACCCTTCACACACACACTGTTCCCTAATCTGCTCCCTTCCTTGGGTGCAGAGGGGTGGGCAGTTATACCCTAAATCTGGGCCTTTGTAGATATACATGGTAAAGGTGATGCGAGAGAATGTTCACGAGGCCGCTTACATCCAGCGGACGTTTGAGGAGTTCCAGGAATTACACAATAAGCTGCGGCTGCTCTTCCCTTCTTCCCTCTTGCCCAGGTAGCACGCCTTTACTCTGCACAGAGGAGTGCTGGGGAGGGAGATGGGATGGGGGTGGGCAGGACTGCATGGGGGTGCCAATCCCTCTTTCAAAGCTCTAGCTGCTTTACTGGGCCTGGTAATGAGTTTGGTGAGAAGTGCTCCCCTTGCTGGCCAAGATCTCCTGATACCCTCAAGAGGTCTTACTAAGCCCATTGCCCACTGAGTCGATAATGACTCATAGTGACCCTGTAGGACAAAGTAAAACTGCCCTATAGGGCTTCCAAGGCTGTAATCTTTAAGGAAGCAGACTGCTACATCTTTCTCCCGCGGAGCAACTAGTGGGTTCCAGCCGCTGACCTTTCGGTTAGCAGCCAAGTGCCTAAACACTGGGCAACCAGGCCTCCTTAGAGGTCTTACTACAGCCTTGAAAATAAGCTTGGGCCCACCTGCCAGAAGGAAAGCAAACTAGTCCAAAGGCAGGGGGATTGACTGAATGTGACTCTGTTTCAAAGTTTCTAATTGTTTAAAGAGTAAAACTATTTTTCAAATGAATTTTTACATTGGTTGGAGACAATCTGATTGAAAAATTAAGGAGCTGTGAAGCCCCCGAGGCACTCCCAGGGAGCCACAGGACTCTGTGGAACAGTTTGGTTTTCTTGTCTGGTGTGAGATGCTGAGCACGTGTGTCATTGGCACAGTCTTGGGGAGCTGGGGCCGGGGGAATGGAGAGGTGGGGTAGCGGTCTCCGGGAAGGGAGGCCATTGGAAAATGTGGGTCAGGTGACTGAAACAGCAAATGACATTTGAAAAAAGCTTGTTGTCTCCTAATTTTCTTTCCCCATCTTTCCCCTCCTGCATCACCACTGCCCACCTCGCCACCCAGCTTCCCTAGTCGCTTTGTGATTGGCCGCTCCTGGGGAGAGGCTGTGGCTGAGCGACGGAGGGAGGAGTTAAATGGCTACATCTGGCACTTGATCCACGCAGTCCCTGAGGTGGCCGAGGTGGGTCCACTCTCCTCCTTTCTGGCTGTCCTGGTCACTGATGTGGAGGATGCGGGGAGTGGAAGGGTCCCAGCCTGCTGGGAATCAGGGAAGGGGGACTGGCTCTTCCGTTTTTGGTGGTGAAATGGCCAGTGCTCTGAACTCTGAGTGGAAGATGAAGAGAAGGGGTAGGTCAGTGGTTCCAGCCTCACAGAGATCCTGAGCACTGTGCTAGTTATCTAGTGTTGCTGTAACAGAAATACCACAGATGCGGGCTGTAGCACACAGAAATTTATTTTCTCACAGTGTAGGAGGCTAGAAGTCCAAATTCAGGGCATGGCTGTGGGGGGTAGGCCTTCCTTGTCGGTAGCCCCAGGATTTCCTTAGCGTTCCTTGTAGTTCTTTAGAGTTCCTTGGTGTCTTAGCTATCTAGTGCTGCTGTAACAGAAATACCACAAGTGGGTGGCTTTAACACACAGAAATTTATTTTCTCACAGTTTTTTAGGAGATTAGAAGTCTGAATTCAGGGTGCCGACTCTAGAGAAAGGCTTTCTCTCTCTGTCGGCTCTGGAGGAAGGTCCTTGTCTCTTCTGAGCTTCTCCTGGTCGATCTTCACGTGACTTGACATCTCATGTGGCTTCACATCTCTCTCCCCCCATCTCTGCTTACTCACTTGCTTGTTTAATCTGTTTTATATCTCAAAAGATACTGACTTAAAACACGCCCTACACTAATCCTGACTCATTAACATAAAAAAAAACACAACTCATTCCCAAATGGGATTATAACCACAGGCATAGAGGTTGGGGACATATATTTTGGGGACATAATTCAATTCATAACATGGACACTTCCATGCAGCCAGTCACAAGGAGAGATGCCATCCCAAAGGGATTAGAATGATCAGAACCTGAGGAAAAGGAATTTTAAACAGATTGAGTGTGTGTGTGTATCCACTTAGATATGTTTTAACAAGTGATACTGTAATGGGCATAAAAACAATTTAGTCATCAGGAATCCCATCAGCCTAACTAAATCATCTACCTCTGTTTTCCACGATTCCTTTATATTTGTCCACATGCAAATGTGACTTTTACAGTAGTCCTAAGGAGCCCTGGTGGCGCAATGGTTAAGAGCTTGGCTGCTAACCAGAAGCCTGGCAGTTGGAACCCACCCAGCAGCTTCCTGGGAGAAACGCCTGGAGATTACAGCCTGGAAGACTCTATGGGGCAGTTCTACTCTGTCACACTGGGTCACTGTAAGTCGAAAATCCACTTAATGGCACCTAACAACAACAGTCCTCATAGCTTAAACATAATTTGATGGGTTTTTTTTCTACTTAGCATCTATGGTAAGCATATGCCAGAACTTTAAATATCTGTATTAAATTAGTAGTATAGTAACTTACAATACCATAACTTCCTTTACCATTTGCTTCTTAAAAGACATTGTAAATTAGGCCCATTTTTTCCTAGTATTAATGCTAAAGTGGGTATTTGAACGCATTTAGGTGTTTCGTTTTTCAAATTAGTTAGGAAACGTTCTCAAGAGTGGGATTCATGGTCTGTGTCCAAGCTTGGCTCAAGCTTTTCTCTGTGCTTGATGGCTGTGTGTGTGTGTGTGTGTGTGTCTGTGTGTGTGTCTGTGTGTGTCTGTGTATGCAGTGGGAGAGAACAAACTGCTTGTGACCTGGTGTGACCTAGTTTTATTTGTTCTTTTTTTTTTTCATATCTACAGAAAAGTAGAACAATATAACAAGTGCCCATATATCTTTCACCTTAACAGTTCTGATCATCTATTTTTTATGACGTATTTTAAATTACAGACACCATGACATTCTACCCCTAAATACTCACTGTGCATCTCTAAAACATAAGGATATATTCTCACATCATCACATTGCCATTATTTCACCCAATACATATTCCATATTCGAAGATCCCCTCTTGTCCCTGAGATGTCTTTTCACAGTCGGTTTGTTTGAGCCAGGAGGCAAACAAGAATTGCACATTTGGCTGTTACATTTTATGTCTCTTTTCATCTGGAAGAACCACCCCCCCACCCCACACACATTTTTTAGTGTGCCATTGTCTTATTGAATAATGACCCCGTCTTCTGGTTCATTCCAGTGTGATTTGGTGTATACCTTCTTCCACCCCCTGCCCCGGGACGAGAAGGCTATAGGCGCCAGCCCAGCTCCCAAATCCTCAGGTACAGTGCCTCCTCTGTGACATCCCTGCCAGCCCCAATGAACCACTCCTAAGGGTGACTTCTCCTCCTGCCCCCACCTCTCCACAGATCTTTTTCCTTGTCTCCAGTTCCTTTCCTTACTGGCTAGGGAATCAGGTTTCCCACTCAGGCTGTGGGGTGCATATCTCCTTGGCCAGGTTCCCCAGGGCTTGGATATTCAGTTGGTGATTACACTTTCAAATCGGATAGACCCATCCCGACCCAATGCCACATCATGTTCATGGACTCCTCTTATGCAGATCCCCCAGGGGGTGCCAGGAAGCCCCAGTCCCTGAATAAATTGGACATGAAGCCGGGGGTGGGGGGCGGGGAGCAGGAAGAGTCAGAAGGAAACTAGAAACATCTGCCTGCCCCCAGAGAGGGACATGGCTGACCTCATGAGCTTTCTCACTTTTCTTTGTCCCTACAGATGGCTCATGGGCCCGGCCCATCGGGAAGGTAGGAGGGGAGGTGAAGCTGTCCATCTCCTATAAAAACAATAAACTCTTCATTATGGTGATGCATATTCGGGACTTGGTAAGTGTACGGGCAACCCTCATCTGGCTCTTTTTCTGTCTTTTTCTGGTGCTTTAGTGGCTGCTCAGACCTTCTCTGTCCCCATGTCATGAGAGTAACCAGGCCTGTGATATGACCGAATAGTACAAGACACAGCTTCGTATTAGCTGTGATCTTTGGCAAGTGACCTAGTTACTCTGAGCCTCATTAAAATGAGGATAATGTTAGTACACTACCTCATAGGGTTGTTATGGAGATTAAATGAGATAATGCATGTAAAGCATTTAGAACAGTGCCTAGTATCAGGTATACGATTATTACCGTGGTAATTATAAGGAAGAGGCCCAAGGGACTTTTTTCCTAGAGATAAGGCAGACACATGGCATCATCGAGCATAATCAAGGCAATATATAATTATGAAATTTTTGTTATGGATTCCAAGAACATTGTGAGAGGAAGGGGGAGGGAATTTTTATTGAACACCTACTATGCGCTGTACCCTGGCTAGGCACTTTGCGTAGTTATAGTAGGAGGAGCTTTGGAATCAGACAGACTTGGGTTTCACTCTCACACCATCATCCATTCATTCAACAAATGTTCACTGAGTGCCTACTATGTGCCAGGCAGTGAGACATTAGCTGTGGTTACAGTGGTAAGCAAAACAAAAATCTGTGCCCTCAGGGACCTTACATTCTAGTTGGAAGAGGCAGCCTGACAAATAAATAAGAAAAATACATGGCATGTCAGCTGCTGGCAAGAGCTATGTGGAGAGAGAAAGCAGAGAAGGAATGCTAGAGTGGGATGAGGGAGTGGAGATTTTGTATAAAGTGGTCAGGGAAGTCCTCACTAACGAGGAGATACTGTAGCAAAGACAGAGGTGAGAATCCTCTGACGGAGGATTGTTCCAGGCAGAGGGAGCAGTAAAATCCTAAAGCCCTGAGCCGGGGGCCTGCCTGGGGTAGTGTGGCTGCAGCCAATGGAGCAGAGGGGAGAGCAGTGAGAGATGCCCTCAGAGAGGGCACAGCAGGCCAGAGCTGGCGGGTCCCATGGCAAGGACTTTGGCTTTTCCTCTGAATGAGGTGAGAGCTGTTGGGCGTTTTGAGCGGAAGCGTAACATGATCTGATTTACATTTTAAAAGGATCAGCCTAGGTAAATCACTTACTAGTTGGCTGCCTTGGACAAGCAACTTAATCCCTCTGACTCATTTCTTCATGTCTTAGCGGTTAAGAGGTTAAGCGGGACAGTGGTGGTTCAGTGGTAAAATTCTTACCTTCCATACAGGAGACCTGGGTTCAATTCCCAGCCAACGCACCTCATGCGTAGCAACTTGTCATCTGTCTGTGGAGGCTTGTGTGTTGCTAGGAAGCTGAACAAGCTTCAGTGGAGCTTCTAGACTAAGACAGACTAGGTGATCTACTTTTGAAAATCAGTCCGGGAAAACCCTGTGGATCGAACAACCAGAGCGCAGTGAGAGGGAATGTTGACAGTTGACACACTGTGAAAAATGTACTAATGTCACTAAACACTTTGTGGAGAAATTGTCAAAAGGGAACCTAATTTGCTGTGTAAACTTCCACTGAAAAAACAATAAAATATTATTTAAAAAAAAAAAAAGGAAAGGAGCCGCTGTGGATCAACGGTCTGACCCCAACTAATCATGAGTTTGGCATAGGACCCATCAGCATTTCGTTTCATTGTGCATGGGGTCCCTGAGTTGGGGACCAACTCAATGGCAGTTAACAACAACGAGAGGTTAGTGGGCCAAATGATAAAATAGACAGAGATTGTGGCAAGAGGATGGCTGTGGACTTGAAGGTTCTTTGAAAATAGACCCCATTATGGGGTGCCCTGAGCATTCAGATAAAAAGTATGGACTCGAGACAATGGATGATCTGATCGATGTTTCAGCAGAAGACGTAATGTCATCATGGCAGATTTCTCTGTCAGGATGGAGTGAGATGGGAGGCGGACAAATAAATTACCTGTGTACTGAAGAAGCCAGGTGTGGGAGATGAGTCTGGATGAGGGTGTGCTCACAGGAGTGGTGATGAGAATCTTTATGTTTTGTGTTTTCATTCCCTTGTAGCAACTGCTGCAGGATGGGAATGACCCTGACCCCTATGTAAAGACTTACCTCCTTCCTGACCCTCAGAAGACCACTAAGAGGAAAACCAAAGTGGCTCGGAAAACCTGCAATCCCACCTACAATGAGATGGTGTGTGGGGAACTTGGTGGGGGTAGGACAGGGGTCAGCAAACTATGCCTGTTTTTGTAAATAAAGTTTTATTGAAACGTAGCTACATCCACTGATTTATATATTATCTGTGGCAGCTTTCATGTTGCGACTGCAGAGTTGAGTAGCTGCAACACAGACCATATGACCTGCAAAGCCTAAAATATTTACTCTCTGGCTCTTAGGGTAGATTCCACAGCTCTGTGTGGCCTGGCCCCTGTCCTCTGGGGGGCTTCCTGCTGGTCTATGCTGAACATGAGCAGGAGCCTCAGTAAAAAGCCCTCACCTGCTTGGACTCTGAACAAAGAACAGAACTGGGTTCCGTATACCTTTTCTATTCCCTTGGATTCTGTAGGGTTAAAGAGATCAAGTGCTCTTAGCCACAGCCAGATCGAACCACCACAGACTTAAGCATCTCGTTGTTCCATGTTGCCTCTGGATTCTTCGAGTTCCCTCTCTCACCACTTCCCTTTCTCCCTGTTCTCCACTTTTGCAGTTGGTGTATGATGGGATTCCCAGGGGAGACCTGCAGCAACGGGAGCTACAGCTGAGTGTGCTGAGTGAGCAAGGATTGTGGGAGAATGTCCTCCTTGGGGAGGTGCACATCCGCCTGCGAGAGCTAGATCTGGCTCAGGAGAAGACTGGCTGGTTTGCATTGGGATCTCGAAGTCATGGGACCTTGTGAACTCAGTAAAGCCACGGTCTGACTCCAGGATGGTGGCAGGAGCTGGGGCGGAGGAGTCTCCCTTGCTTGACACTTCCTTTCCTTGTGAAGGGCCAGGGCCCTTGGGGGTACTCTTCTCCCTCCAGGTGGATCTGTCCTCCATGACAGGAGGCGGGGAGAGTAAGAAGCTCTCTGCTGTCCTTTCCTCTAAGACTAAACTTGGGATGATTGTGATGCGCAGCCCCTTGGAGGCTGTGAGGTTTCAGCGAAGTTTTAAGTTTACCTTGTGTCAAGGGAGCAATGCCCGGTTTGGAGTGTGGGGGGGTGGGTTATATGAATAGCATTTTGAGGGAGGGTGGGTGGATATCTTTATTTTTATTTTTAAAAAATGAAATAGTAATGTTGTCCTAACTGGACAGGAAGCCTTGTGAGAAGGGACATACATATGCCTCAGAAGGCAAGAGAGGAAAACTATTTGGACTTTTTGTATGATTAAGGTTCTTATTGGACTTTTCCCTAGGTTTTTTGTTTATTTGTTTGTTTTTGTTTTTCTATCTATAGGAATTATTTGGGGAGGGGCCCAGTTGTCCTCAGTTAGAGCTCTCCCTCTTTAAGGGCAGGCAGAGAGGGCAGGGAGTACTGGACTGAGGCCTGGGCCCCGGGCCTTTCTGAGTTTGCCTCCAAAGGAGAGCGCCATGATACCTGTGTGTGTAAGCAAGGGCCTTTGTATTGGGGTTCTGCCAAGGACCTGTATTCAGGGACCCGTGCTCTTTTGGGGTGAGTGTTTCCTCTCATCATCCCCTACTTTGTTAGGACTTCCCCTGAATACTGTCCTCTACCCCTTGTCCCCTCCCTTCTCTTGGCCCTTCTGGGAGCCACCTGCTCCCTATGAATACGCTGGGGGTGCTTCCCCCTAGTCTCTCTTAATTTTTCTCTTATGAGATATCATCTGCCTCGGCCCTTAGGTTTAGTTTTCCTGAGGGTGTCTTGGCCCTGGGAAAGGGTCCCTAGGCTGCAGATGCCAACATGGCTGCCTGCTAGGTGGTTTCTGGGAAGCATTCCCTATCACCCTCCACTTCTTTCTTTTATGCTTCATCTCCCCAAGCCCCTTTTCTGTCACACTTTTTATAAGAATTCCCCTCATTCTGTGGGGCCATAAACCTATTTAACCTGGAGCCAAAGGGATGCCCTAACTCGAGGAAATGGGCATGGGGTGGGGGAGTTCAGTCGAAATAGTTGTTTTTTTCCAATAATTACCTTTGGTCATGAGGAGGCTGGCTTGGAGTAGTGATTATTATCCCCTGTAGCTGAGCTCAGGAGCTGGGAGAAAGAGACCGGGTCTCTTATCTCTTCATATTCTTTATTCTTTACCAGGCAGATGTTAAGTTCACTCTTTAACACTTCACTCCAAAAGGTTGTCCTCCTTAAAAAAGAGGGAGAGACTTTGGATTTGATATGAACTTTTTCACCCAGAATCAGCTGGCTGTGCCCTGCGAGGTGGAAAGGAATAAATAAGGGCATCCTGCAAGCTGTACCTCCCCTCGACCTACCTACTGTATTCCTTTCCAACTCCAAGCAGAGGAGACTCCCCCTCTTGCCGACTCATTCCATAACTGGAGAAAGCAGCTCCATTCCCTGCAAGGGAGTCTAAATTGTTCTTTTAAATTAAAAATGCCAAGAATGAAGCAGGCTGCTGTGGAGAGGGGCTGGGGGAGTGAGGAATGGGAGTGGGACTTTTCCAGATGAATGGACCACAGATGGGTTGCTGGCTTTTTGCCCGTTAACTCATTTTATTTTGACCCTTTATGCCCCTGATTTAAGGAGGTCTGTGTACTGTATCCACTTCCCAGACGCCCTGTATCTCCTATTTTCTCTGGAATTGTATTTTCTAATAAATGACATCTGAGAAAAATGTCATTTTCAAGATTGGTTGATGTTTAAATGTTCAGGTTAAACCATCTGATGTACAAGATAAAAATATAACAGTAGTCGTTTTACAGAAGGCAACTCTTATGTGTACTAATGCCCTGCAGAAGGCATTGTACATTTGTCTGCTAAATCTATCATCACAACAACTTGATCAGGTGGGTATTACCATCCCCATTTTACAGATGAAGAAAGTGAAGCTCAGAGAGATTAAGTAATTTGCCTAAGGGCACACAGCCAGTTAATCATGGAGCTGGAATTTGAAACCAGGTTTGTTTGACTCCACATCTTGTGCTATTCATCCTTGGCAATGTTTAATATAATCCCTTATGTCAATTTGGAGCCCCTGAGTGTGGTGCAAATGGTTAACATGCTCAGCTGCTAACCGAACAGTTGGAGCTTTTGGTCCGCACAGAAGCACCTCAGAAGAAAGGCCTGGTGATCTATTTTTTAAAAATCAGCCATTGAAAACCGTATGGAGCACAGGTCTACTCTGACACACGTAGGGTTGCCATAAGTAAAAAGTGACTCAACAGCAACTGGTGGTGGTTATGTTGGTGTAATACTTGATAGTTTTCAGAGTGCTTTAATATATATGATGTCATTTTTCATTACAACGACCCTGGGAAGTAAACATGGCTCATTCATTCATTCTTTCAACAAACATTGTGCTTATTAGCACTTACCAAAGAAGACAGTGTGACTGACACCCCCTGGAGCTGTGCACTGGGCCCTGTACCAGGTACCATGAGGGAGGGGGCTACGAAGATAAATTAAGACAATCTTCTGCATTTGAGAAGTTTACTGCCTGGTGATATTAACCAAGCCCGTTTTATAAGAGAGGAAACCAAGACTCTTAAATGCCTCATTAGGATTGAACTGTGACAGCAGACCTGTATCCCAGAATTGAACCCCCCAAATGGAGAATGGAAGTGATACGGCCCTTGTTAGGCATTTTACCCAGAAGTTTTCAAAACTCCCCAGTGGGGAGTCATATTTCATGCTGGGGAATTTTGTGGGGACTTCCAAGGGATTTTCAGTAGTAAACAGTGGGAAGTGTTACCTGTTATATTTCTAAGTGGTTTCGAGGTATCACCGCAGTTCTGGACAAGTCCCTATAGACCCTTTAAAAGTTAGAATTTGAATCTGGCAAGAGTCTTAGGAAATTTCTTGGCCAATTGGCGTAGAAATCTGAACTACCCTGAGGGAGTGGGATGGAAGAGCTGGGGAGTAGGAAAGAGGGGTTTCCTGGGGAGAAGAGAAAAGAAGCCCAGGAGGTTGATTTTCTAAGTTGAAAGAGAGGTGGCTGGGAGTAAGGTTAGATTGGATTTGAAAGGTCAAAAGTGAGACAGCATCCTAATAACGTGTTTAGTGCTTCTTTTCTACCTTCTAGTTCCTTGCATAGTGCCTTCGGTTTTAAAAGCTTGCAAGCAGCCATCCAAGGCACAATTGGTCTTTATTCACCTGGAGCAACAGGGGAAGAAGGAGAGTCAGGAATAGGAGGAGGATATAGAATGTGTAGTTAATTGCCTCCATGAACAACTGCCTCCTTTGCCATGAGACTAGAACTGGTTGGTACTCGGCTACCATTACTCAACATTTTGATCAAAGTTCCTATAGAAGAATCCTGATCAAAATGCAGAACAGAATTTCAAATTCTCATGAACTCTAGACTTCCTGGAGCCATAGAAGGTAGATGAACCCTTGAAACTATTGCCCTGAGATAATCTTTGAACCTTAAGCCAAAAATATCCCCTGAAATCATCTTAAAACCAAACAATAGTTTAACTTAACTGGTAAATAATAATGGCCTTGAGCTCTGTGGTGCGATGGATTGCTTTTGTGTGGCCTTTCTTGCCATGGTCTTGTAACTCCCACCCAAGTAATTGGGTGGGACTGTGCAGATAGCGTAACTGTGACCCACCAAGGGGATTGGTCAGTTTTGAGATACACTGGGCTTGAAATGAGCCACCCAAGAGGCGGGAAGGAGAGGATCCTACCAGCACCAAGGAAGGAGAGCCAAGAGTGGAGCATGTGCTTTGGATTTGGGATCCCTGCGCTAAGAAGCTTCTAGAACTGAGAGCTGTAACACTGAAGAATGGACACAGTGGCAGAGAAACAGCGGCAGGAGAAACTGGCAGGAGACAGTGTGGTGGGCTTCCCAGCCCACAGAGCAAGAAAGCTGAGTGCCTTTGGGCAGGAGGTTCGTGGTGGAGTAGGGTGCCTCCAGCCACTTCGTGGAGCTAGGTTTGCAGACCTGTGGAGCTAGAGCTGAGCGCCTTCCAGCCGAAGCTTACTGGCAGTGGGGTGCCTCCCGGACTCTTAACTGCAGAGCTAAAAGAGCTTTGTAACACTTGCCTGAGGAGGGCAGAGGCTGAGGGGCCTGGGAGAGGCCTGCCAGCAAGCACAACTGGGAAGAGTCAGTCCCGATAGAAGGACTGCATCCTGAGTGCTCCTCAACCTGAATTGTAACCTGTTACTTCCCTAATAAACCCCATAATCGTGACTATTGTCTGTGAGTTCTGTGTGGCCATTGAAATGAATTACCAAACCCAGCAGAGAAGTAGAGAGTGCTGTGGGAAGGACGGTTGGTGTCAGAATTGGTAAAGATGGCAGAGAGAGGAGGCATGTCTAACCTCTGCCTCATAGGAATCAGCCCTGAGCTGCTGATCTTGATTCTTCTTCCCCCTTGGGAGGTTAGAGGAGGTCAGATGCCACACCCATGCCCTTTTTACAAGCATTATGCTCTTCTAGGAACTATTTATATGGGATCAAATTGACAACAGCAACTCGAAAGGTTAGATAGGAACTTTAGGGGGCAGTGAATTTATGTTAACGAGGGAGAAACAACTCAGGAAAGGAGGATGAGGGTAGTTACACAACTCGAGGAGTATAATCAATGCCACTAAATTGTACATGTAGAAAGTGTTGCATTAGTGTTTGCTTTGCTGTGTATATTCTCAACAACAGTAAAATTTAGGAAAAAAATGAGGCAGCATCTTATGTTGGGAGGTAATTCTGGTGGCTGGGACTTGTCAACAACACTGATGACCTACTCTGGGTCAGGCAAGGGGGCAGGCACTGTGACTACTAAGATGACAAAAGGTGTGGATCCTGCCCTCAAGGAGGTCATAGTCTAGTTAGGGAGACAGACACGGAAACAATTACAGTGCAGTGTGGTACAGACAAGGTGGAAGGGCTGAAAAGGGGAGGGTTGGGGCATAGAGGGCTTCACAGAGGAGATATCTGAACTGAGTTTTAAAGGCAGTCAGAACTCTAGATTTTATTCTTAGTATTATGGGGGCACCATTAGAGTTTTTTGAAAAAGGGACTGCAATGCTCCCATTTACATCTTTAAAAAATCCTTCTGGCTGCTGTGTGAATCAAGAATGGAAACAGTGGAAGAGAAACCTTTTGCAGCAGTCTAGGAGAGAAATAAGAGCCCTAGTGGTGCAGTAGTTAAGCGCTTGGCTGCTAACCAAAAGGTCAGTGGGTCAAACTGACCAGCTGCTCCAGGAGAAAGATGCAACATTTGGTATCCATAAAGATTTATAGCCTTGGAAATCCTATGGGGCGGTTCTTCTCTATCCTATAGGGTGACTATGAATCAGAATCTGCTGGATGGCAAAGGGTTTGGTTTTTCTGCACGTGGCGCAGTGGTTGAGCACCTCAAATGCTAACTGAAAGGTTGGTGGTTTAAACTGTATGGGGCAGTTCTACTCTATCGTATGGGGTCACTGTGTCAGAATCAACTCCACGGCACAAAACAGCAGGAAGGGAAATGATAGTGGCTTGGGAATAGTGAAAAGTAGTGAGATTCTGGATATATTTTGAAGGTAGAGCTGATAGGATTTGCTGATGGATTCAATACGGAGTTGAGGGAAAGACAAGAGTTGTGGATGACCCTAAGTTTGGAGGCTTGGCACCTGGGTGAAGAGTACTGTGGTGGCATTACTGAGATAGGGAAGATGTGGTTGGTGAAGCTGAATTAAGAGTTTTGTTTTGATCATGATAAATTTGAGATGACTGGTAAACATCTAAGTGGAGAAGTAATATAGAATCTGGAGCCCAAAGGAGAGATCAGTCTGGAAGTTTAGCTATAGAAGTCATCAGCATTTAGGTGATTTTTAATGAGCAGAAAAAAAGATGTGGGTGGACTGAGCTCTGATACATGCCAACATTTAGAGGTTGGGTGGAAGAGGAGGAGCAGCCATTGAAATTGTAGGAAGCTAGGAGAATAGTACCAAGGGAACCTAAAGAAAAGAAGTATGGTCAGAGAATTAGATTTGGCAAAATGTTCTTGGTGACCTTCATAAGGGATACTTGAATGAGTGGTGAAAATGAAAGCCACATTGGAGCAGGTTGAAGAGAAAATTAGGCGATGAGAAAGTGGAGATTGTGAGTATAGAAACTCTTGAGAAATGTTGCTGAATGGCATAGAAACTGGAGAGGGGCATTTATCTAGGGAGAGGCTTTTCTGTTGTTTTTTTAAATGGGTAATATTAAACTATGTCAGTGTGAATGATCTGTTAGTGAGAAAGAAAGTTATGTTACAGGAAAAGAGGGGAAATGGAGGCCAGAGTTCCTTGAGTGGACATGAAGGGATAGGATCCAGCAGGTCTTGCTTCTTGTTATGGGATTGAAGGCAGAGTATGTGGGTGCAGGTGCAGGTAGATTGGTGTATTTAGTGGTGGAAAGATGAGGTTGTTTCCAATTGTATCTATTTTCTCAATGAAGTATGTAAACATAAACTGAGAATGTATGTTTCTGGAGAATGCTGGAAATTTGAGGGAAGAAATATTGTGAAACAGTCTCAGAGCACTGGAGAAGCAAAGCCACTAGGGAACTGTCGTAGGAGTGCCTGGCATAAAGGACATTTGTGATCACAAATACGAAGTGAGTCAGTCAGCATGGCTGAGTGATCTTCTCGCTTGCAGTGATTAACTGCAAGGGTATAGTCTCAGAATCAGTGGGTTTAACTAGGGTTGGAATTTTGCCAGAGAAGAATGTTGGCAAAGGAGAAGGGCAAGAGAATTACTGGTGTTTGCAAGGAGATAGTTTTAATACTGAATCGTGGAATTCATACTAGGGAAGGAGGGACATGTCATCAGGAAAGACCAGTCACTAGAAAAGGACATCATGTTTGGTAAAGTAGAGGGTCAGCAAATATTAGGGAAACCCTTAATGAAATGGATTAACACAGTAGCCGCAACAATGGACTCAAACATACCAGTGATGAAGATGGCACAGGACTGGGCAGTGGTTCATTTTGTTATACATAAGGTCGCCATGAGTTGGCGTCAACTCAACAGCAATTAACAACAACAAGAAGGAGGGACATGAAGAGGTCGGTAGATCATGAAAAAGTGGTAAGAGTAATGGTTTGGAAGATTTTGGGGGTTGATAAGTAGCTGAATAGGGATACCAGGGCAGTGAATTGGAAAGATACGTGGTAGTCAGTATGTGGGATATTTGGAAACAGGATTTTAGAGGTGTTACAAGTATTGGGGATGGTGAACCCCAATCAAGAAATCAAACGACATGCTGCATTGGCAAATGTTCTGCAAAAGACCTCTTTAAAGTGTTCTTTAAAGATGTCACTTTGAGGACTAAGGTGTCCCTGACCCAAGCCATGGTGTTTTCAATTGCCTCATATGCATATGAAAGCTAGACGATGAATAAGGAAGACTGAAGAAAAATTGATGCCTTTGAATTATGGTGCTGGTGAAGAATATTGAATATACCATGGATTGCTAGAAGAAAGAACAAATCTCTTGGAAGAAGTACAGCTAGAATGCTCCTTAGAAGTGAGGATGGCCTACTTAGTTTTTTGTTGTTGTTTTGTTTGTTTATTGTTGTAGTTTAAGTGAAAGTTTACATTTCAAGTTAGTCTCTCATACAAAAATTTATACATACATTATTATGTGACCCTAATTGCTCTCCCTGTACTGCAACAGCACACTCCTCCTTTCCATCCCTGATTTCCCATGTCCGTTCAGCCAGCTCCTAACCCTCTCTGCCTTCTCATCTCACCTCCCGACAGAAGCTGCCCATTTAGTCCATGTATCTACTTGAGCTAAGAAGCATACTCTTTATGAGTATCATTTTATGTCCCACAGTCCAGTCGAGTCCCTGTCTGAAGAGTTGGTCTTGGAAATTGTTTTATTTCTGGGCTGATAGAAGAATCCAGGGACCATGCTTTCCAGGGTTCCTCCAGTCTCAGTCAGACCATTAAGTCTGGTCTCCTTACTAGAATTTGAGATCTGCACCCCACCTTTCCCCTGTTCCATCAGGGACTCTCTGTAGTGTTCCCTGTCAGGGCGGTCATTGGTGGTAGCAGGGCACCATCTAGTTCTTCTGGTCTCAGGCTGATGAAGTCTCTGGTTTATGTGGCCCTTTCTGTTTCTTGGGCTAATACTTTCCTTGTGTCCCTGGTGTTCTTCATTCTCCTTTACTCCAGGTGGTTGGGACCAATTGATGCATCTTAGATGGCCGCTTGGTAGCTTTTAAGGCCCCAGACGCTGCTCACCAAAGTAGGATGCAGAACATTTTCTTAATAAGCTTTGTTATGCCAGTTGACCTAGATGTCCTCTGAAAGCGTGATTCCCCAGACCCCCACCGCTGCTACTCTGTCCCTTGAAGTGTTTGATTGTATTCAGGAAACGTCTTAGCTTTGATTTAGTCCAGTTGTGCTGACTTCCCCTGTAGTATGTGCTGTCCTTCCCTTCACCTAAGATAATTCTTGTCTACTACTAGTTAGTGAATAACCCTCACCCTCCCTCCCCACCCTCACAACCATCAAAGAATGTTTTCTTCTGTGTTTAAACCTATTCTTGAGTTCTTATAATAGTGGTCTTATACAATATTTGTCCTTCTGTGACTGACTAAATTCACTCAGCATAATGCCCCCCAGATGAGGATGGCCTACTTTGGTGGGTGGCATCTGGGGTCTTAAAAGCTTGCAAGTGACAGAAAGGGCCATATAAACCAGAAACGTCATCAGCCTGAGACCAGAAGAACTAGATGGTACCTGGCTACCACCAATGACCATCCTGACAGGGAGCACAACAGAGAGTCCCTGATGGAGCTGGAGAAAAGTG